TTGAGCAACATGTCTGCATCAAGTTCTGTATGTAGCTTGGTAAATCCGCTACCGATACCCTTGAAATGCTTTGTGAGGTTTTTGGAGAACATTTTTTTAAGCCAAACAGCAGTTTTTGAATGGCATTCACATTTGGAGGCCGGCCAAGTGTCTGTTGAAGATGATGAATGTACAGTGTAACCAAGCACCAGCAAAATGACAGAAAATGTTTAAAAAATTCGAGAACTCATCCACAGAGACTGTTATCAAACAATCCATGAGCTCGCAGATACCATTGGCATCAGTTATGGAGTTTTCCAGGAGATTTTAACAGAAAATTTGAACATACACTGCATTGCTCCTTCGTCACAACAATGCGCCCACCCACACATCCCTGAAAGCCACAGAGTTTCTGACTAACAACAACATGGTTATCATTCTTATCCTCCCTACTTGCTGGACTTAGCTCCCTGTGATATCACTCTGTTTCCCAAATTGAAAATGAAACTGAAGGGACATTTTGAAATATTGTCTAACATCCAAAGGGAATTGCAAGCAGTACGCGACAGGATTAAGGAAGATGACTTCCACGGTGCTATTGAAGCTTGGAAAAAACTTTGGGATTGCTGTATACATTTTGAAGGAGATGGCAGCCAAAATTGAGTAAGTTAAGTCAGCATTTCTTTTTTGACCTAATGTGGGATCTTTCTAGTACACCTTGTACATTGTTTAGATGGGCTCTGGTGCCATGATATATGAGTACATACCAAGTTTCATAAAGATTAGTTCAGGCATTCAAAAGTTTATAAGGTGGGACTCATGGTCACACAGATGGCATGGAAATTGCATATGTGGGCTAAAAATGGAAATGTAGCATTTTTAGTCTAATTCTGTAGCATAACACTTCATCTGTGGTGTAAGTGACAACAAAAACGTCTTTTTTCATGTTTAATACCATTTGCTAGAGTGTAATGTATTGTTGTTGCGTGTAGGATTGGACGTGCAACAAAAATGATGGGTTCTAGTTTGGATGATTGGATTTATTAGTACCTTGGTCACAACCTCTCTTAATCACACTCAAATACAGGCAGTACAGCACAATTGCTGATGTACACACTTTAGAGTTCACCATTGCACATGCACTAGGATTCTGTCTTCACTAGTCGTCTCCTAGCAATGGATCTCAACACAGAAACTGTAAAAGTCTCACTAGATTTCACACTTCCAATATCAATGCACTATAGCATTCATAAAATCTTCAAATCACATGTCAAATCTTCACAGGCTGACCTCTTGTACTCATCTGTACTCATTCCAGTTCACTCCACCAGCTCATGATTGAATTGAATGTTGCTGCATTCACTTCTCTTGTAAGCACTCTGCACTAGTCTCTCAAATGCCTTAAGCTCTCCTTGACTCTCCACACTGACTTAACCTTAAACAGATATCCGTTATATGGGCGCCACATGGACAGCTCAGAATACAAGTCATGTGATAGCTAGTACTGTTGCAGTGTGACATCATTGCGCCTGCGCAGAAGTTGGTTTACTGAGCCATTGCCTAGAAGTGGGTTGCATAACCTTGTTCTGTTGTTGCCAGCATGTATTGTGTGTGTTTTCTTGCCCATTACCTAGCAACGCTCTGTCCACGTCCACGTTACAGTATGATAAAATTCTGAAGGTTTTGACTTCATGGCAGTGACTTACATGCAAGTCATCTTGATATTCATATTTCCTTAACTGAATATATTATCAGTGAAGCACCTCTTTGTTTCTTTGAAATAAGGTATGAAATAAGGATACATTATGAAGAAGCTGTTTACATCATCTTTAAGGTTTTGTATCACACTTCTGGAATGGCTGTGAGTTTAAGGAAACACTAGTGTATAGTGGTCAGCCTAGTTTTTATTTTAGTATTTACATTTAAATTAAATTTTACTGCATTACACTATCTTGACAGGGACATGGTCTTTTAATTTTACTGCATTCTACTGTGTTAGGAGAAGGAGGAAAGGGTTAAGGTCTGAAGTTATGCCAGTTACAGTGTTTCATACTTTTCTGCCAACTGAAAATCTTCGGATTTTCCAGCAGTTGAAAGTATGATCTGCATAGTGAAATCTGAAATACAAGCTGGGGATTTTAGAATGTTTCATGTGTAAATATGGAAAATATGTATACATTTGTTCAGAAAGAAAAATTCTCTATATTGTGGCAGCCTGGTGCCATAAAAAGAAACAAAATGCACACTCATATCTTGAAAACAAAAATGAAAAGGCCACCTACATGTTTAGTGAGAAAGAAATAAGAAAAATTACAAAACTATTCCAAGACATAAATATGAAAATAGTTTTTCATACACAGCATGTAACAGAAAACATATTAAGTCCCAAACCACTTATACAGGTAAGTACAGCCAAATTGTGGTTTTATCAGATTAAGTTCCTAGGTTCCTGGTTGCTATATATCAGATAAACAGGATGAGTACTCGACGCAAGGTATGAGAACCCAACCAACTTACACAAAATAGCAATGGCAACTCCAGCTGTTTGAACTGTTTATTGAATACTGGATAAAAAAATGGCAGGTAATCAACACCATGAACACTGTAAACACATGAAGGAAAGAAAAATACTTAAACTCTCCAGGGAGATACCACATTTACAGAGTCACTAAAAACAATCTGCATTGGCATATATATAGATACCCATATTCCCAACACCAACTCTACACAAGATAACAGAACACATCATTAAAACATGAAGAAAACATTACATCAACGCTACTCTAAACAGCACACACCATCAAAACACAGCTCTATGAAAGGTATAACACACGGGTAACCACCATAGCGCTCACTTCAGAACCACAGACACCACATATTACTGTGTATCTGCACTAGAATACTATGAAACATAATATAATAGGTACCATTATACAGTACAGAGGCCACACAACTGTATAAAAAATTTACAAATGACAGTTTTGTCCACCAGTAGAACATCAGTAGACAAGAAACACCAGCAACAGAATTACACCAGTTACCTACAGAAAGATGTACATTGTAGTATTTGTTCTCATAAGATGAAAACAAGTGAAAATCTTGAATTATTGCACATATCAGTTGAAACCATTTCAAGTACTGTAACCAGTTTTAACTAAATTCATATTGGTGCTACCTTTAGTGGGGAATTCATGCAGTAAAGCAGCTTATGCATAAAATATACCTGAAGGCTGAAATGTGTTGCATAAATAGAGAAGTAGCAAATAAAATTGTGACAGTGGCAATAGCCTCACAACCATTAAAAAACCTCAAAAGTTACATTAATAACGAGAAAGAACATGAAGTGACTCATTATCACGTTTGGCAGTAACGCAAGGTAAGGTAGGTTTGTGCACATTAATTTTCATGTCTACATTGGTCAGGTAACTTATTGCCTTTATTGGCTTCAGAATTCTCATTACAATGTATGTCCTTGGTCTTCTCTTACTCATAGTCCTAATCCTACAGGTTTTTAGTTCCATGTTATCAGCAGTCAACTGTCATCAGTCATTCTGCCACATTGGTCTTTCAGTCACTTCAACTATTATCAGTCTGAAATTTCTTATGTAATTTATTTTAGTATTTTGGTTTTTGTCTGATTGTTTACATCCAGCCAAGAATCTCTTAAGTACACATTTCTCCATAATACTAATAACTTTCCTTTGGATTCTGTAATTTTAATTTTTACAAACATTTTCAGATTAGATTGTTCCAATATTAAAAAGTGAATAAGATTTCTTTGTCTAAATCATTGTAACAAAAATAATATGCAAACATCTGTTTATAATAAATATGTTATCTTTCTAATTTATGTTTCTTCCATGCTCTGATTTGGAAGACAGTCTGCTTCCTTGTACAAGTCCTGTCCTTGTTGTAATATCAGTTGTGGAAGTATGTTTTGCTCTGATCGTTATTTGTTGTCCTTAAAGCTCTTGAAGTATCAGGTGGTGGTCTGCAACTTGACATATTTACATTGATAGGCATACTCGTACCATTTGTAATTGCATCTGATATTTTTTTTTTCTGTGGCACTACAGCCCCAATTTTGGGTCTAGGCCTACCTCCATGAAACTCTCCGTTTCACTTCGGTTTACTAGATCTTACACATACGGTAGGACTCCTTGGGCGAGTGATCGGTTCGTTGCAAGGCCTCTACCTGTAGACAAACACAGAAAAACACACACAAACATCCATGCCCTGAGTGGGATTCGAACCCACGATCCCGGCTTCTGAGCGAGCAAAGACAGTGCATGCCTTAGACCGCTCGGCTACCGTGACCGGCAGTTGCGTCTGATATGATATTCCTTAATCAGTGGTCTGCAAACCAATGCTGTTCTGTGGCTTAATTTATGGTGGATTGTGATTCTAGTTACTGGTTCACAAGTTATATAGTTTTACTGATTATGTTGGGTGTCCAGTTATCTGGAGAGATTTATTTTCTGTCCACTCCTGATATTTGGGAGTCTGTAGTATATGTGAGTTGAAGAAAAATGCTTGGTTTCAACTGTGAAACTGCATGTCAATTAGATTTTATNACTCTCTGTGAAATTGCTTTTTAAAAGGAACAAGTACAAAAGTACAAAATGAAGGGAATTTGATTATATTCTTGGAAATGGAAGAAGGCTTTCTTTGTTTGGTTTTTCTTTTTAAGGTATAGAAATGGCAAAAGAGCTTCTCAGAAACCACACCCATGTTTCTGCCAATAAAATTCAAGTAAAATGCATGTACATGTTCGTGTCTTTTTATAAATCCTGGTTCACAAGTTATATAGTTTTACTGATTATGTGGGGTGTCCAATTATCTGGAGAGATTTATTTTCTGTCCACTCCTGATATTTGGGAGTCTGTAGTATATGTGAGTTGAAGAAAAATGCTTGGTTTCAACTGTGAAACTGCATGTCAATTAGATTTTATGGATTTACTCCCCTTTTTCAGTTATAAATTGATATAAGAATTTCTTTTGACCAAAATTGTTGCTGGTTGAACCAAACATACAAGAAGTTGGTTCAAACTGTTTTTATGTGCACAGTGTGAATATGAAGACTTGAGAAAAATTAAGAAGATGGACTTCGGACTGGATGGGATGGTATATATTATGTATGAGGTAAGGTTTGGTTTCTACAGAAAGAGTATTGGCATTAGCTTCACAGAGATAAGTAACAATTGACAAGTGACTTACTGCATTGCATGTAATTTTCAGGTGTTTCATTGGTGTTTTGAATAGTATCATATGCATGTTATTACAAAGTTTTTCTTTTACTCACATGGAAGTACACTTATCCCTAATTTATTTGGTTAAATGGCTGATCATGTTTTCACATATATGTATGACTGTAGATGGGGTTTTGATTGGTGAATCAATATATTGCCCACTCATGACTTGTGACTACACTTCACAGGACACTGACACACAGACTAGTGTCCTCAGTCTATTAGAGTCTCCAGTAGCAGTTTCCTGGCAACGGAATTTAACACAGGAACTATAGCAATGTTACTGGATTACACACTCCGAATAGCACACATAAAGTCTTCTCCACAACAGCACTATTGCAACTAACTACTTTTTTCACAGCCTCCAGTACAGAAACCATAGGAAAGACTGTTCTTCTATTGTTGCATTTGTGTCCATTGCCGCAGGAACGTGTTTACCAGGCCATTGCTCTGAAATTACTGTGGCACGGACCACAGAAAACACCATTCTTCTGTTGTTGAGGGCTTAACCTATGAAACAGCCACTGTTTACAGAGTTACTGCTTAGGAATGGGTTAGTGTGCCACAGTATATTTGTTATATTGGCATCTTTATTTATTACCTTTAATTATAGGGAATGAAAAGAAAGATTATTATCTGATTTCAGTTTGAATTTTACGTCATGTTTAACAAAAATGTCTGATTGTGTATTTGGAGCCCTGACACAGTTGTACATGTTTCTTCACAAGAACTGGCCAAAGTTACTCCCTTCAGCTTGCACACATGCTTCACAGTGATATAAAATGGAGTCCCTAATATGAGCCAGTTTTTGTGGTTGGTCTGTTAAGTCTGTCACACGTACAAGGGTTTGACTGATCAGGCTGTTGAGGTCTTGTGCCTCTCTAGTATAAGTATCTTCCATGACATCTGCATGAAACAAAAATCTAGTGGCTTCATATCGGGAGGCTGGACGATTAGACATCCCTGGCTGATCCATGTGTCTGGCATAAGACGTGGGGAGAGGTACGTTTGTGCTGAAACCGCATGCCCTCATGAATATTAAGGTGCACGTCCTCAAATAAAAGAGGAAGTGTTCTTCTAAGGAAATCAGCATACTTGATTCTGTTAAAAATTCTCTCTCATATATAGTCCAATTAAGTAATCACCTGTGATTCTTATCCAAATTTTGACACAGCCTATGTTGAAACGAAGAGCTTAGAATAGCATGAGGCTTCTCCCGTACCAAGTCATATAAGTTTTGGAGATTGTTTATTCCATTCCTTGGGATTGTTGCCTCTGTCCACAATACAAGACACAAAGAGTGAAGTCCATCCGTACTCTTGTGTAGAAGCCATCAGCAGAACTGAAGTCGAAGATTATTGTCCCATGCCTGTAGCTCCTATACGAGTTGAAAGGTTAGCAGCTGCTTCTTATACACTGTACATCAAACTGCACTCTGAGAGAGGCCTGTTAACAGAATTGTAATGCTTGTTTCCTTTTACTAGGAGAGTTACTGGTATATTACTGCAAATGTAATGGACAGAAGAGCTTTTGGGTGAAACAAATATCTTATTGCTCTTGATTGTTACAGAAAAATGTTGCTAAAGAAAATAATGTGAAGGTTGTCATTAGTTTTAGGTACCAGAATTAAGAGTAAGAAAGAATTTTCCTGGAGCACCTGAATGTTCTGATATATACGGATATACTGCCCTAGTGTTAATATGATTTGTTAGTGTGTACAACCAGCATTAATACTGTTCCTCACTCTATATTTTAATCCATTTCCTTTCTTATCCAGTTATGACCTTGTATATAAATTTATATGCAATTATAATAGTTTTCTGGGGTCTGTAACATCATGAAATTTATGATGGACTCTTTTCCTTAACTTTCACATGGATGGTTATCATATGTGAACACATATTCTAGTATGTAACTCTCACATGCCATTTTGATGTGAAGTAACATGACCAAATGAATGTTTAGTACAGTAGCAGGGGCTTGGGTTGTGTTTGTCAGGTACATAACACATAAGCTCATGTCATGGTGGCTGTTCAAATATTTACTGGGCCAGTATTGGAGAGAAATGTAATCTGCATAGGCTGTTAGCCTGTCAGCTATGACAGAAGCTGAAGTCTGAATGTGCATAATGATTGTTGACAGGAGTAGCTTGTGTTCCTCCTGCAGGATCAGCTGAGCGACTTGCGGCAGAGTGGGATGATCTTATATCGACTTGCAGTTAATCAGAATTATTGCTATGATCTTGAACCTCAAGATATTTTGAGTATGCTCTATTACATCTCCTTTCAGTGCTTCTTTTAAAAGAATAAGATAGGTTGATTATTGATTTAGACTAGTTTTCTAAATGTTTCTTTCATAGTTATGAAAAAAATGGCTGCATTTATATTTGGTTGTGAAATAATTTACCCCCTTACAGGAAATAAGTCTGAGACATTGTGTCTGTTTAAAATGTGCCCATTTTCTGATGATATTTGATATGTCCTATGTATTTGTGTGTGCATGCAGTTGTCCCTATTCATCTGTCCCAGAGTCATGGCTCACCAAGACACTGTTGAAAGATGATACCAGACAATTCCTCATTAAGAAGTTGTTATTAGATTGGAGAAAAAATTGTAGAAGTCTTGTAGCAGAATTGCAGTTAGGTTTGCATAAATTTGAAGAATAAACACTGCATATTTTGAAATGTGATAGTTACACTGTGCTTGCACAGAGAGGAGGACATGGATTTGGGGTATCAGAGAACAGAGTGGAGAGACATGTTTTTGAACCTGAGAAGATGAGAGTAATAAGAGGAAGGTGTAGAAAATTGCACACAGAGGAATTTCATAATTGGTACTGATAGTCAAATATTATTAGGATGGTAAGAGCAAAGAGGATGATGTAGATGTGGAGTATGTATTGTGCCTGAGAGAGAGGAGAAATGGGTACAGAATTTTAGGTAGAAAACATGAAGGTAGGACACCACTTGACATAATTGTAAATATGAGGATAATGTGAAAATGGATGTTACAGAAAAAGAACAGAACGATGTGGCGTAGATTCATCAAGTTCGGGGTAAGGTTCAGTGGTATGATGATGTGAACTTGGTTCTGAATGTTTAAGTTCCATAAAAGGTGGGCACTTTGTTGTCTCTCTGTGCAAGCATTAATTTCTCAAGGCTGGCTGTGCTCTGTGGAGTTGGTTCATTTAGTTGATCTGCCAGAAAACCACAAGTTTGGAGTCAGAAATCTAGTCACTTGATGTGTATCCAGGCAAGAGAAACTGTGGTTTGTGTCTTCTGTTGTTGACAAGTTGTGTTAGTCTGTGAGGTAATGAAACATTGAATGAATGATGTGATGATGGTATGAATTTGTATTGAGAAGGACTGTGGAAGTCCAGTTGTGGCCTACATGATATTCCATGGACTGGCAGAAAACAATTTTGTAAAACCTCTGGATGTCTAATTTTGTGATGTTTATGGTCAGATAGTCTGATTGAATATCTGGTATTTTGATTGTCCACCAAATAATACAAAATAAAGGCAAAGTTTTACCATAATACATATATGTTGACTTATTTTGTAATATGGATACTTACATTTCTGTGTCATAGAGATAACCTGTGAGATTATGAACAGCACTTATCCACATTAGTGGTCTCAGTAGAATGAGGTAGCACTTGTTTAATTTTAATCTGAGGTTGGCCCTCAAGCATGAAGCATCAAGTGCATGCTGAGGTAGTACCTTGAAGTAGGTCACAACTGATTCCTTACATGTCCTGTTGAATACATATTTCTTAACAATTCTGTGTCATCATTCCTAACCATTGCAGTTGATAGGGTGTCATTAACCCTTTGCCTGTTGCAGTTAAGACATTAGTGCATGGTACTATTAATGCAGTTATTTCTGGATATTTAAATTTTAAATGCGATTTTGGTGTGTCTGTTTTAGAAGCAGGATGGCTATCTTAATTATGTTATATTCCATTATGTTAAGAGGAGCAAAGAGCTAAGTATACTAAGAATGTGACATGAATGAATGTTGTTACAGAGTTGGCATATTTTTGTGATGTAGCATTATTTTCACCAACATACTGTAATATGAAGTAAAGTGAATGAGATTGATGCTGGTTGTCTTTGTTGATACGTCCTTGAAGTAGTTTCATGAGAAATTTGTGGTAGTTGAATTATTTTTACTTGGTGTTTGTTGTTGGTGATGAGGGAAAGGTGTAAATAAAAGTAATGCTACGAAGTATGGACATGGTATTTACTTTGTTTTTTACTTGAATTAATTGGTGAGCATGAAAATGCTGGAAGTCTGAAAATTACATTCATCACATCAAGCTAAATGTATATACTTCTTTCTTGGTAAGTTCTTTGTTGTTTACTCAAGTCTCACCATTTTCAGTATATTGGTAAAAACATTATTTCATATATTTCATCATAAACATTTTAAAATTACCATCTTATTTCACGCCAGCAAAACTGTGTGACAGTTCTTTAATTAGTACTTTAAATAGTTTTATTTGCTCAAATATGTTTAATGTATTTTTAGCTGGTTGGTGCATTGTTGGAGTTGATCTGAGAATGGATTAAGTGCCATCATTATGGCAAGATTGCAAGTAGTGGAATGCATACTTTTCAGACGACAGATCGTTAATGACATATTTAACCTGTACATATCTAATGTAACCCACTTGTCTGCTTGTGCATGATGAGTGAAAAATGAAGGCCAGCAATTGAAGATGTCTTTGAATATGTTTATTAATATTCTCCCCTGCTCTCTTTTTGATTTGTTTAGAACTGACAAACCATAAATACATCAGAAGGTTATCTCTGGCGCAGAAACAGTCATACTTTTTATATCACTCAGGAGATAAAATAATACCAGACCAAGTATCCCAGGATGCCATACTAAACATCCTCCTCAAAAGGCAATTTTGAATTAATTTCACAAATTACACTCTTAGTGAAGCTGTTGTAATGGGTGATGCTTTTGCAAGTAAAGTTGATGATGACATTGTTAATGTGAGTGAAGTTAATACTGCCATTGAAAGTGAGAATAACAGTGTAGCTTTTCAAACTGTAGCACACAAGGCAACATAAAGAGACAGTTTTTGGCTGCATGGCAAGAAAAACATGAATGATTGAAATACAAGTAGGAATCAAAGATGAGCAAAGTTCTCCATGTTTTAAAAATTCATAAATCTTTGCTGTAATATGTCTTATTTTTTATGGTTTTGAAAATACCATTCCAGCATACCAGTACCTCTTAAAACCATATAAATATATTGAAGCATTAAAAGCAAGGAAAAGAAATAAAGTAATTCACATGCAAAACATGAAGAAAATGAGTGGATAGATGTTTCATCATCATAATGTTGTATTTAATATTACTTATTATGTGACCCAGGATAGGTCACTTAGTATAGTAAGTAGGATATGGGCTGGATGACCTAAGAGTCGGGATTCAATTCCTGACAGGGGCAACAGATTTTTCTCTTTTCCATAACATCCTCACTGGCTTTGGGCCCACCCAGCCCCCTATACAGTGGGTACTGGGGGCCCTTTTCTTAGGCATAAAGCTGAACACTCACNATGGTGAAGCTGTACCTTCACTCCCCCATGCAACTTCATGGCACAGTGCTTAATTAATGGAGCCCAGGTTAACTGCCTTATCACTTATGCATTATTTATAAAACAGAACAATTCTTGTGTGTATGTCTTATCTGTCTGTGACCTAGTACTACAGCCTAAACCATTGAGAGAGAATTTCTTGTTTTTAATTTAATGTTGAAGACTCGCTGATAGCTGTCAATCAATTCCAATTTTCAACCATACCAACCCTTGACAAAATCTTTTTACATAATGTCATTCATATGAACTGTTTCATGCATCTGATAAATTGTTACTCAGGGTTTTGTAAGATAAGTTGGAGAGATTGAGAATAGTGTTGGTACTCACCACAGAGCCCATTTTACATTTCCTGTATTTTATAAACCTTTAGTGAAATTGTTATTAAAAAGAGCTTTGCATTACTTTCATCAACCACATTGATTTTTATATGACCTTACAAAGCCTACTTTTCTTTAGGTCATATATTAACTTTTTCATGGATTACCAAAATTTTGGTGAGATTTGTTATGAGAGGCCTTTGCGTAATATTAGTTTTTCATTTTTATGTTTGGCCCTATTGACCGATCACAGAGCTTCCTTTATGTGTGACAAGAAATGGATGTTTTTATGTAGATCATAAAGTCTTGTCAGATTATGTCATTCTTCAGTGTCATGCAGTATTCTGCTGTTTAAGTATAAAATTTGCTTATTTATCAAATGCATTTTGTTTTTTCGTGAACTGCTGTTTATAAACTGGCATCCTGTGAACTTGATGGACTACAGCGAGTGCAGAATTTTGTGTATTACATTATGGAGTAGACTATTTCCAATTTTGATAACGCTGTCAGCAACAGCAAGGAGCCTTCATTGACATGTTGGGACTATGCAAGCTAGCAAGTAAGCAGAATGTTGGGCTGCGCCATAGCTCAAGTGGTTAGTCACTGGCTTCCCACCATGATGGCCCAGGTTCGATTCCAGGTCTGGTCAAGTGGGATTTGTGGTGGACAAAGTGGGCACAGGCGGGTTTTCTTCAAATACTTCGGTTTCCCCTGCCAATCTTCATTCCACCAAATTCTCCATCATAATCACCCGGGACAGTTACAATAGGCCAATCAGTGGCCACCTTGCCGAGTGGACCTAGCTGGAATCCACCCCCCACTAAGCGAAAAGCAGAATGTTCACATGTTTGACCAGTACACCAATTCATTGAGATGTAAAGAATTACTTAGTTATATTTTGGGATGCATAGAAGAAGATACAGTATTCACATAGAATGTTTACTCGTATATTACAGTTCCGTCAACAATGCAGCCACTTTGTTCCATAGAATTTTCACTTTTTACAACATGTTTTGGCCCAACTGTTCATTTTTAAAAAATAATTGTGCTTAATTAAATCAAAATACTGTCATGTGTGGGGTTCTATGACCAGTTGTAATGAGTTATGGATTGGATGATTGGGTTTATTGGCACTTCTTTACATTTACAATCAATTATGACAGTTCACAATTAGTCACTGTCTACGGCTCACTCAATTCTTTACTGGACTATGACTGTCTTCTATTCCACTGTGATGAATGACAAATGAAGAATCTCTCCTGAAGGAATTCCGCCAAGTGTTCTCACATGTCCTCCCTTTATAACTTTGGGAGAACCAACTAGAGACCACCACCTCAAACAATTGTCATTCTGTTATTACTTATGTTTTCTCCGTTGCTACAAAACATAGCAATCTGCTGCAAAGCAACAGGGGTCCCACTGTTGACTGCTTAACCTCGAGACTGTGTTTACCAAAGTGTAGTCTAGCATTGGACTATTCTGGCTTTCAGGGGTCATGCTACAGTATGTATTAAAAATGTCTGCATGGTTTTAAATCTTGACAGAGTACGTTGACCATACAAAAGAAAAATTTTGTAGTAAAACTTCTAAGATGGTCCCCTCAGAGTTGTGTAGTTCATGCAACAGCAGGAAGGTGAATAAATATTTAAAAGGGATAGAGCTGAGATAGTTGAAGGTGTGATAAAAAGCGTGAAAGACAAATTAAAAAATAACTCCGTGGCCCGTAGTCCATAAGCGAACTATACTGACCGAGCGACCGCCACTTGTCAGCTAAGTTAGTGCCAACTTTTGTTGATAGAGGGTGTCGTGTTCAGTGCAACAGATCCCCACGTCTATTAATCTCGGGCTTCTAGACCGGAGCCACCATTTCCTTGAAATAGCTCCTCAGTTATCCTTGTGAGGCTGAGATATTGTATTAAGGAAATAATTTCTGGAGAGTACTTGAGATAATGTGGAAGGTAATGCTATAAGTTAACATTCTTACATATTGAAATTGCTTTAAACTCTTAGATGAAATGACAGTAGTCAATGTATAATTTATATATTGAAGATACAAGTTCAAATTACTTTACAGGGGTGTTAATCATTGCAAATGTTACATAAGTTATTTACTTCTTAATGGATATGGGGCAGAAGACAGAAGAATATTCAGTTTCTACTGTTTTTTCTGTGTGGGCAGAAGACAGAAAATTGTTCAGTTTTCGCTGTTTTTTTATAAATGTGATGCAGTGGCAGTTACCTCTGTAGCTAAATTTGATTTCAAAGGCAGAGGCTTCGTATGAATCCATAATTCTTTCACAAAGAGATTATGGTTAATTACAAATATTTTTAGTAATTAGATTCAAGCTGTTTTCACATTGACTCAGCACAACTGGAGTTGTCTTATATTTCTTTCCAGGAAGAAGAAACTTTCAGTGATCCCCGTGATAAGGAATGTGTTTTGCTTGCTTTCAGTTTGACTAAGAAGATATCATTGACAAGTGAGGTGATCTTGTGTTGTGGGAAATGGAGGGTTACACTAACATTAGTGGTAATCATGAAGATTTTGATGATTTAGACATCGAAGGAAGAATAACTTTGGATGAGTGGAATTGTAATAATGAAGACAGCCGTATAAAGGTACAGTACGAAAAAATGGAAGAAAAAGCAGGAAAGTATGATCAATGTATGTAATGTAAAATTATATTACGTATTATGAATATTCAGTATATAGTTATGTAAAGATGAGAGCATTGGGGGAGGTGGGGGCTTATGAAAATTAAAAACTCTTATATAGATGAAAGTGGGAAGTGATCATGCTGTTAAAATTGTATGCTAGTTTATTGTGTGGAGAGGTAATGCAAGCGGTAAGAACTTATATGAGAATTGAGATAGAATGTAAGGCTATACAGTGTATAAAGAAACATAGTGTCTTTGTATGTCAAATTAAATTTGTGAAATATACATTGAAATAGCAAATTCACTAAACAGTGTATGTTTTTGTTTCAAGTTGAGTGAACCTGATTTCAGCTTTTAGATCCAGATAGTGTTGTATCATGAATCTGTGTGAACATAAATTTTTGTGTATTGCGTTTTCTCCCAATTACTTTCCCCACATCAGTTTTAGTGGTCACAGTAAGATTCCAAACTCAACATGTCTGTCTGTCATCATACTTGCATTGGAAAGTAATGGAATCTGCCTCATGGATACTTCAACTTGGCAAATGGATTTCTTCATTTCGTCAAATGAACAGAGGCCAGGAAGATCAGATGAAAGGATATATCACAAAGGAACTTCATAATTTGTGGAGGGGCATCTGGTAGTTTCCAAATCGTGAATAGAACGTAGATAAGTCTATAATTTTTTATTCTTAATAGTGCAAAGAAAAGGCCTTTCCAAGAAATGGTTTGTGTGGCATACGTCCTTAAGACGACAGTTGTCTGTTAAAATCAAAATGTGATGGAGTAATATCAAATAATTGTGAAAGCAAACTCTTTACTATTAAGGAAATAGGCATTTTCTTGCCAATTTTATGGACAGGCTTTCTTCATGAAGGAACTAGCATGTATTTTAATATTGGTATCTATTGCTCTTGTGTTACATAAAATATGTACTGTCTTTGTACCCAAAAATATAACTGTTTATTACAAATGTCCATGCTATGTGTTTGGGCTACTTTCAGATTTCTGCAGGGGATCATATTGTCTGCTGAAGTCATTAAAAGTTTTGAATAAAATTTTACCATAATAATATTAACATTTTAAAAAAGCACTGTTTGTTACAATAAAATTAGTAACATTTTAGATTCTGTATTTGTATACATGTTTTGTATTCTGTGTTCACTATATTATAGAGAAATTTGGATGATAACAGCTGTCAACTTCTCAGGAAGGTTGCCTACTTCATGGAGTTAGTGGTAGAAACATTTGTTTTAATATATTAGTCTTCTGAAGCAGAGTTTTAAATTTAGTCAATGTTCAGCTGCTTGGCTCTGGAGAATCCCTAATTTAAAGTTCTTGTCTAAAATTAATATGTACCTTGAGTACTTCAAATCAGTGTTAAACTATGAAAAATGAAATGGTAATGATAATTTTCAGAGAGAGAAAATATTCATAGCATCCAAGAGATATATTCAATAGAACATTGAAATGAACGAAATGAAGCAGAACCATGTTTAATGGCATGCCATGTGTTCTTACTAAATGGTGTCCCATTTTGGCATGGCATACAGTTTTTAAGAAGCATTCATTATGGTACTGAGTTGACTGACTAGTACATTGTATTGACATTTATGTATAACATGCACTGTACACCTTGGTTTCATCAGTGTTCGCGTTATTTTGTCAAACACATAAGAATGTAAGAATATATGCAGAATTAAGGGTCTAGATTTGAACAAATTCTTAAACACTGAGAAGTACCTAGATAATAGTATTGTATATTGTAATTTTATTATGTACATGTATATTGGACTGTTCTTAAGTGTTAATAGCACAAAGAGTAAAAAGACGTTTATGTTTAGTTCTTAATTCTCATGTTTATGAGCATTTACTTCCATACATTGATGGTCTGTTGGAATTGAATGTAAATCATATTGTAAAAGTTTAAAAATTTGAAAATTAATTGTTTGTAGATTCAGTTATATAGAGAGCAAGTTCCTTAACAGAGATATACTTATTTGCTTTGTATCTTTAATGTGTATTTTTAATACCAGTTTGATTTTGGAAAATGTAGTAATTTTGTGTTCTTGAAAAAATTATTGTTGTTAAACAGTTCTAGAGTGGATGGGAAATCTGTCACCCATGCCAGAGAGTGGCCTGAAAATCGTAACTTTGTCACTCACTGTTATGCTTTTATGCAGTGAGCGATCAAATGAAGGAGACTGGGATGGATGTGACATGTAGCATGCTTGGAAAAGATGAGGCATGCATACAAAATATTAATCAGAAACCTGGATGGATCAGACTACTTTGTAAACCTAGGAATAAATGGGAAGTTAATATTACATTGGATCTTAAAGAAAAGGGTATGAGGATGTGTATAATTTCATGTGGCTCAGGATAGGATTCAATGGTCAGCTGTTGTCAGCACAGTCACAAACCTTCAGAGTCATAAAAAGTGGAAAATGTCATGCCGTGCTCAGCAGCTATTGTCTTCTCTTGGTTTACTGCAATCCTTACATCCCCTCGAATGACCATAAGTTGCGTTGTTACAGTTGTTATGGTGATAGTGACCTTACACACAAACAGTGGGTTTTGGATTTGAGGTTCTCCCAGTTGTAATTATGAAGATCGAACTCTTCAGACTACCATTTGGATGTGGGCAGTAGTACTGATGTTGTGGAGGCATGTGCTGCCTTTGTCTTCATGGTTGAATTGTATAGTGGAGCTGAGTGTGCGTGCGTGCTTGTGCGCGTCCATACATGTGAAGGTTTCTTAGAAACTGCCCTTCTAAGGGCAGTGGAGTGCACCAGGGAACCATCAGCAACTTGTGTTCTGAGTGATCACCCATCCAAGTGCTCACCAAATGTAAAGTTTCTTAACCTTTTATGATGCAGAAAGTGACGGGGAGATCACCGTTGGTCAAGGATAGGTTTTGGTGGGGATGGAAAGGAACAATCATGCCTAATGAGCACTTGGGTGGGCAGCTGCATGGGAACATTAGTGGCCATTGGTTTCTTTATGCACTCCATGACCCTTGAAACAAAAATGTTTGTCCTTTCACAGTTTCTGGTCCACTTTCCCTGTTGGCCTAGATGAGGCACCAATGCCCACTCCCACACATTTTTTCAAAATGTGCTCACCCCACACACTTCGGCCCCAGAAATGGAGAAAGCATATACCTCTGAAATGTCAGTGACACTGCCCAGGTTTGATAAACATTTAACCACCATGAAAGCCTAAAATGAGTGTGTTATTCCTTTCACCATTACAATCATCTGAGACACAGAGACCATAAGTTTGATACCACCATGAGAACCTGAACTCTATCCTTTCTGCTGTTTTCTGCCCTCTCATTGAATGTAAATTTATATATTAGGCCATACAACATGCAAACATGACTTGTAAGTGGTAACTCATGTTACTTATTTATCAAATTCGACTAAGGTAGTTTCTGAACTAGTAAGATTGTAAAGAATTTATATGGAAAACTACTGAGAAATTTTTACTAATGCTGTCATTGTCATTACTGCTTGGGCATAAAATTGCTTTATTAGTGCAGTATGTGTGTGTGGAAGAAATTATGGACAGACTCTCCAGACATTTCCTTATTTATTGAGGCTTACCTGTAAATTGATCTGGATTAGCAGGAGTGTTACTGCATAAATATCCGTGAGTGAAATAGTTATTTATTATAAGAAATCCTTAATGAATGGTACCTTCTTGTGTAAATAATTTTGTTTTGAGCTTATATATTTTTATAGCAAAGAATTTTTTTTTAATTAGATGCAAGGAAAATTGCTCCTGTGTTAATACTTTTAATTTCCCATTGATTCCAACTAGCACTGAAGCGTAGTTAGTATTTTTCAGTAAAAATATGTTGATGTGTAATCTGAAATGAATAGACTAATCCAAATGCTCACTAGATATGTACATATTATGAGCACAACATATGTATCTGTTTAAATACACATCTCCACGAAGACCGCAAAACACATTTGAGTGAATTCTTGTGCCTCCTTTTAATTTGAATCTCATTCAGAAACAGTTGTGGCATACCATCTGTAAGGTCATTTTTCATCTTGATAGTACATCAATCTCTGACAAACTGTCGTGATTAGTTTATGGAAAATTTGTGATTGGCACAGCTGTGGTTGCAAGTTGTCATGTGGAACACTTTAAATTAAGGGAACTGTAGCTGCTCTTAACACTGATCACATCCTAACTAAGTTTCCTGTTCCTTCACTAAGCACAGAAAATATGTAGCAACATCAGGCATAAAATATAAGTATGAATAGTGTAATTTAAAGTTGCACTGCAGTGAAATTGCTGGAAGCTATAGAATGTCACTTCAGGTGCTGTTATAGCCCTGATCCCAGCAGGTATGAATCTGTTGGAGAAGAAAATATTGATTTTTTCTGAGTGAACAAAATTAGAAACTGCAGACATGTGAAAATCAGATATTATGTTTGAATGGCTGGATACAAATGGAAAACCATGGATACTTGAAATGTGTGGTCTATGAGGGATTGCTGTACTAGGAAATAAACAGGAGTATATTAGATATGGCCACTGTACTGAGGAATTGTTTATTATTGCAGTCTGTAGAATTTATGCCTAGTAAAGTATCAAGACTGTAGGAAACTTAATTGATATGGTGAATATCATTATTTTAGGGCATAAACTGTGTCATTAATACAGTGTATAGAATTAGTTACAGAATAGTGTTTCCAGACATTTCCTTCCTAGGTTGTTCTAGAACAGCAATGCTAGTATATCCTAAAGGGTTCTCATAATGGTGTATAAATACTCAGAATTACTGTGTTTTCAGACCTTGTCCATCATCCTGTATTCTAGAAACTAGAAAACAGCGTTTTGGTAACTGGATATGTTTCTGTCCTCAGGTGAGGAGGGAGACACCTACTCTGTTGGGTCTCTTAGAAAGAGCTAACTGCAATCACTGGACCCAACAAAGTAGGTGTCTCCCCCTCCCCCCTCACCTGAGGATGGAAACAAATCCAGTTTCCAAAACGTTTCCTAGTAGATGATTGACAAAGTCTGAAAAGCATTGGTGTTTCCTAAACACGCATGAGTTATCACCTTTTATTAGCTATGACATACCTCTAAATCTTACTCTTTGATTCCAGTATTTGCATTCTGACATACATTTTATATTTCTTTATAGTAGCAGATGACTTTGTCTGGAATTAAATAGCCTATAACAAGTGTGATTTGTGTATCAATATTTGCAATTTTTCTTTGATTTCAGTTGGTCATTCCCTAGAATAATTTCATTTCATTAAATCAAATATTCATCCTTCTTCTTCTTCATAAGGCTCGACAGTTTCATTTCTTGAATGCTTTGACCTCAACAATTTCTTTCCAGCTACTTCTGTCCTGTGTGCAAATTCTCCAGTTATAAATTCCTAAATCCTTTAGATCTTCCCTTACATCATCTTTCCATCGGATCTTAGGTCGGCTGCTCTTTCTTATAGCATGTGGCTGCCAGTCATATATTCTTTTAACTGTTCGTCCAGCCTCCAACCTTGAGCTATGTCCAAGCCAACTTATTCTTTGGGCTTTGGTGAAGTTAACTACTTTCCTTCCTTTTATCTAGTTTGTCGTTTGTTTTAATTCTCCAGGACCCATCATTTTCTTTTGATGGCGCAAAGTAAACATTCATCCAGTTGAAAATATTTCAAAGAAATTATGTGCATTTATGAGGGGTTTGTTGTTTTGAGTGTATAACTTTTCAGTTCTTAAATTTGAGAAATTTGGTAACATTGAATAAAAGTAAAGAGAAAGAATTCATTGTAGAACTTCTTGAATGTTGCACTGTGTCAGAAAGATAGTTTGTCATTTCAGAAGATCTGCCATTTCTTTGACGGAGGGAGGAGGCAGTAGGACATCTGAAATGTGGAACATTTTTGTCTTGCAGATGTGTTGTCACATCCAGAAGACTACAAAGAATGACTGAGGTGCAGAAACCTCTATCATGTAATGTAATGTATGTAAGGGGTGGGCCATAAAAACTGGCTCCCTCACTGCGACCTTCAGTAATCTGTTACTTCTATCATAGAGTGGGAAAGAATTTTGAGGAATGTTGAGTTATAAATTTCAGGCTCTTTTCATGCAAGTTTGAAATTCCATTGAAAGAGTAGTAATGCAGAATGTTTTCAGACAGTTAAGAGTAAGGTGCAATGAGGGTGGTCGTAAAGGTAATTCAGTATATGGGAGCAGCTCATAGTCACTGAACCATTCAACAGATTCTTCACTGTCTGTGTAACCTGGAGGTTCATTATCCTTTTTCTAAAATAACCACCACTGGAACATATCGTGTTACAGATTAATCCCTTATGTCTCTTTAAGAACCTTTCTAATAATAACTTCCAGTCTATTCCTAATTCCGTTTATAGAGGTTACTCATAGCAATTGCAAAAATTATTGAGGGTTTGTAAAGAAGTGCCCTTATATCTACAGGAACTTCTTTATTTGAATGTTCTCATTACAGGTTCGTATTGTGTGGGAAGAGGAAAGTGTGTGAAGAAAAGAACCTTGAAGTTACATGAAGAAATATATGTCAATTTTACAACTGTTTACTTGTTCTAGATACAAATATTTGTAGCATTTTCGCTGCAGTTTGTACAGCAGTGTTGACTTGTGTGATGAATATTTGGACTTCGATGGATTCTTGTTAGAAGAGTGTGTTCTGGATGCGTACTTAACCAGACATTATGGTTGGAAACTGATAGTAGTCACTGCAATGACAGTTCATGTGCAGGAACTGTACATTGCATTGGACCTATGATTTTATATAATAAAGATGAATTTAAGTGTGTTTATATATATTCCACATGTGATAGTCTGTACATATTCAGGGTGATGGGGCTTTTTATAATGTGTGCCTTGTGAACACACTTCTCTACAGCTGTAACATGCTGTTTGTATCTGATATTGCAGGAGGAAACTTTAAGTGAACGTGAGGAGAAACGTTTGCTTTCTATCAAAGTGAAATTGGATGAAGGGGGCTATGGTTATGTGTTCTCTGTGAAAACAACAGATCTCTCAGTTCGTTGGAAGTGTCATTTGTGTGATGTTCTCATCATTGGTCAGAAACATGTGGACACTCATATACAGAGCAAGAAGCATCAAGTCAAGATGGCACTTCCTTCACATCCTACACATATGTTCACCAGGCTAGAGAGCAAGCCTTTAGGTGAGTAATTGGTAATGTACCTGTTGTAATGTCCACAACCTGTGACTGTACTGCAGTAAGGGATTATGATTCTCAAGGTTTTGGAAGTACAGCAATACCTCGCATAGTCCAGGTAATCAGTTCCGCCAATATTCCGGACTGTTTGAAATCGGACTAATTGAGGAACTGAATACATACAAAAAATGATAATTGGTTCCAAAAAAATCCGTTTTTCAATAAATAAAACGCGATTAATAAATTAAAATGTCTTTATTAGAAATAATTTAAAAAAATCATGTTTTCAGAATTCATTTTTTATTCTCTAAAAACTGCAATATTGATGCTGCACATTTTTATTCTTTGGCCTTTTCTCTTCATACATTTCTTTGTAGCAACGAATTGCATTGTTTATCGTTCGGCAAATTGTAAGGCTACGTTCAATATTGGGATCAACTTCCGTAATATGCTCTGACAAGGTTTCAACCATTCCAATAATTTTTATAGTTGTTCAGCTGTTAATTCTCGTGCAGGCACTTCAACACAGTCGTCATTGTCTAAGTTGTCCTCCCGTTCTTCATCTATGTTAATAAGTGTTTCATTATCTAGTTCATTAATGTTCAATTTGATGCACTCAATTACGTTGACAGAATCTTAACTCTTTGAAACCAAGTTGCTGTCCAATTTCAACTATGTTATTAGTGACTTTAGCAAAATGAGTTTCAAAACCAATGAAATCATTTGCACAATGTGGTATGATGTGTTTCCATACTGCCCTCATATTTCTTGCTGTTAATTCATGCCATGCTTCACCTATATTTTCGAGTTTCTGATGTAGCTCTTCCAAAATTCCGTTAAAGTAGTGCTATCCCCACCTCCTCCAGTGATAGCTGTCAGAGCTCAAGAATGAATGACCCGAGCATAGGTACGTACATACAATGGAGAACCCCAGAAAAAATTGAAATATGTATCGTATCACATAACTTTAAAACCGCATAAAAATAAACCACACAAAAAGAGACTTGACTGTATAAAGGGAAAAAAACGATCATTTATGTATTAAAAATAATTTTGTATACTAATTTTTTAGAATTTATTTGTTTTGCTCATTTAAAATTTAGTGTGTTTTTAAATTTTCAAACCGGTCCGTAGTGAATCCGGACTATGCGAGGTATTGCTGTATAAGTTAACCTTTATATGCCTACACAGCAGGTCTCATATGCCATATTTTAATCTCACCACATAATGGCACTGTGACATGATGGCTGAGAGCCAGAATAGTTTAACAAATAAATGTGGTGGTTGCTATGTAACAGAGCAGTAAACAGTTTCTGCAGCAAGGAATAAACATACAGCACAAGAGGGATTCTTGGAAGCGGTGTTTTCTGCGCTGTGTGCGCTGAGGTTATATAGTAAGGACACCAGCCAAGTTGCCAGTCAGTCATGGCTAGGAGCTGTGGCCATGAGGCATTTGCCAGCTGATAAGGATAGCAGTACAAAAGCTGAGGAATCTTCACTGTTGGGAGCTGTTATTGGGCAGCAGCTAGTGAAGATGTAGAAATCCTTATATGCGCTGCCATACAGCGATCTGTAGAGTGTGTAATCAATGGAACATTTGTTTACTTATGGTTACGAGCTGTAAATGTTCAGTAACACCAGTTATCAATCCAACCACATGTCTAGTCACTAACACACAAGGTAAAAGTAAAATTGTCCCTATGCCTAATTAATTAGCACTGTTCCATGAAGACATGCTGGGAAATGGAGGTATATCTATACCATTCTTGACCTTGGCACTAGCTGGAGGTGAGTGGTCAGTTTCACACCTTGGCCACTTTGCCCCCGAGTCAATCGCCACCAGTACCTGTTGGATGGGAGGCTGGGTGGGACCCAGAGCTGGTCTGGGCACTGTGGAGATGAGAAAAATCTTGCCCTGCTGGGAATTGAACCCGGGTTATCCAGCGTATAGCTTATTGCTATACCATCTGAGCTGACAATATTGAACACTGGCTATGTTTGCTGGAACAATTAATCACCTTGTTTGTCTAAAATTCACAAATGGAGGTGGAAAAGACCAGTTAGGCCTAAAGGTTGAAGCTGCTGCTGATAATGATGACCCTCCAGGAATATCAGGTCTCATTGTTAGCACAGGACATATTTTGTTTGTTGGAAGCCACATTTTTTGGCCAGTTGCTTGCTTTAAATTGGTTAAGGTTTCAGTTATGATATCAAAGTTTGTTTTGTGAAGAAAGTTTATTTGTTTCAATGCGCTTTAGAAGAAATCAAATGTAAAAGGTGTCCTTAACTAGATGATTGTATGTGTAATAAAAGCCATTCATATTAAATAACAAGAACACACATCATAAGTGATGTTTGTTCTTTTACTGTGTATCCATCAAATCTTCCATTTTACTCTTCCGTTATTTGCTAATTGGATAACAGTGTGTAATAAGAGAAATAGAATTAATAAACATGTTTCCATGTATACATGAGCCTCCTGTTGCAGTTGAGATGCCAAAACTTGCACCAGGTGAACCAGTTCCCCCAGGGTTTGAAGATGTTGTAAAACGAGTAACTCAAATTCAAGCTACTTTGGACAGTCATAAGAGTTCTCCACTTATAGGTTGGTACCATGGGTAAATTTATTCTGTACTAACGAAAGTACCCTCAGTGAACTGAAATTGCTCTGTGAATGGATGTGTCTCCTACAAACCTTTACTTTCTTTGAGTAGGCACACCAGGTAATTTTGCATGAGTGGGTGCATGCCACACTGGGTGCACCTCTTAGGTTTGTTGCATTATAATTAGTATGCTGACTTGGGTTACGTAATTTTAAGATCAACTTTAACAACCGCAAGATAGACAGGACAGAGAAATATATCAGTCACTGTTAACAATTTGTCAACAGAAGTAAATATTAATTGTGACTAAGGAATTAATCCATTTGATTAATTGTGATAGCTCCATTTTATAGAGTATATAGATCTAGTATTTTGTATAATAAGTATGAGGAATATATTCTTATTCAGGGTTGGAGTACTTGGTTGAGCTAGTACCTGATGAAACAGGCAAGGAGCCCATGTATGTGTGCATGTTATGTGACAAGAAGGGAGACCCACGTGTTGCCATGGCACATATCACAAGTTACAATCATCGCTCTAAATATATTGTAAGTTGAGTACGTGCTATAGTAATAGTACACCCACTAATTTAAAGTTAGTATTATGATTATTTATAAGGTGTTAGTAAAGCAAGTCTCAAGACACGCAAAATAATTAATTTTAAATCGCCTCTTACAGCTTATGCTTTTGAGACTTTTGTTGCTTAATAAGCTGTTCTTTTTTGTCTGTCTTAACACTTTGCAGACCATGCACCCTTTAAAAGGTTTTTCGCTTTTAAACATGGCGGACCATTCACGTTAACAGGTTTTTAGAACATGATAAGTTGCAACACACTCTACATCTCTCTGGCGCCACCTGCATTGCACGCAACTGCCTGCAGATGCGTGATAAGACTCTGGAATGTTTAGTTGGCAGTCAGTAACTTGACCTCGCTGTTTACTTAACCGACTATAAAGGAAAATGCTTTGCCTTCTTCAAGCTGTGTGTATCAGCCAGTAGCTAGTGGGGAGAATGGATCAAGGACAAATTCTCCTCCAATGACCTAGCCGACCTGCCTTGTGAGACGCGTAGTAATGGATTGTCATTCAGACAGCGACAGTGATGGGGGACAACAAAGAATTGTGGCCACAGACAGTAAAAGTGACAGTAGCTCCGACGATAATGCGGGTAATAACATTGCGCATAGTAACGTTGCAGGGACAGTAAAAAATCTAAACCCTGATTCAAAATTGAAATACAAAGCATTTCTGATGAATGTGGCAAAGGCCTGGGATGCAGTCCAGATGGTGGCGGCAGAACCAGGGTCACACAAAGACTTAGGACGACCGGGCCCATCAACTCCCACCCCACAAAGGCCTCATGTGAACCCCACAGGGTGACTGTTGAGTGATATGCGGAAAAATACCCTCGTGAAAATTGTGAAGAGTGAACATTCCAAGGGGAAGAATATTTCTAGGCAATGCCATGTTTGCACAGTTCACAAAAAAAGGAGTATGTCTACATTTGCAAGTTCTGTATAATGCCACTTCACAAAGGGGACCGTTTCCAGAAATATCACACCCTCAAGCACTTCTAGGAGCATTGGTAAGTGTTCTCCAAAAATTTTAGTTCAAAAAATTAATTAGGAGATTGTATATTAATTTTTAAAGTGAACAGTGCACAAGTTAGGGTAGTATGTTTAAAAATGCCGGTCCCCAGGGTGATTTAAATATTTAAATCACCGGTCCGCGAAGTGTTAAGCGGGTGTAACTGAATTTGTAGGTTAATTCTGTTAAAATCACATGAAAATTAGGATGTGATTAAATTGAATAAAAAGTTTATATGTAGTTCTATTACATCCTTTAGGGAATCCACTTTCCAACAGTGAATAAAGCACTCTTTAATGCATTTCCAAGAACTAAGGATGGTAAAAGAGGAATAGCAGAAATAGTAACAAGAATTTGTGCCAAAATTGAGGCGAAGTATGGACGTCTCCAGCCTCTGATTGTTGAGAGGGAAGCTTTTGACACAAGGAAGGACAAGATCGTGAAACAGATACTAGAGGATCACCATTTCAGGTAAGTAAACATATGTCCTGCATGTTGCTGAATTTTCATAATCCATTTTGGCCTAACACAGACATTGAGATAAAAAGGTGAATTATGAAGTTGTTTCATATCTTCTGATGGAAGTTGAATTATCTATGGTTAATATTGTTTTGAAGTTAAAAAAATAAAGTCTGCAGAGATGCGTGGAGTTAATGTTGTGAACCATTAAAATTCTTTCTGTCTTTTTCAGGGAATCACCAAATGAGACCTTTGTTGAAATGGTGGATGTAAATGTGTTGCAAACACTGCCTGTGACTGCTGCTGATGGTAAGTATCCTACTATAATATGAATGTCTGTGTTGTATATGGTACAAGGTATGAGAAATGCATACAGAGTTTTGGTCAAAAACCTAACAGGAGGAGATTACTCGGAAGACTAAGGCATAGGTGGGACGATAATATTAAAATAGCTCGTGAAGAAATAGCATGGGAGGATGTGGACTGGATTCATTTGACTGAGGATAGGGCCTGATACCAGGTTTTTGTGAAGGCATTTTTCATTATAGGTATCCCCCACTTCATAAAGATAATTCATCCCATGAAAATTGTTCAGGAGGTGAAAATTTGTAAATAAAAAATTAAATCCCCATTTCTTTACACATGAAATTACAGATTTAGGACTGTAAGTTGTTCTTTATAGTGAAAATGGAAGTTTAAGTGAAGAATAGGTGGAAATTAACATGCTTCTTTGTAGCAAAAATTGACAAAACAGGAGATATGTTTATAATAACAATATCATTTATAGGTGCCATCTGATTTCAAAGTTTTTTTTAATTGCACTAAAGTCCAACCTGAATATAACGAGAATTCATAAAATCTGTAAAAATCCTTATTGTATTCAGTACTCACATTGTCCAAAAATAGGTTCAGTAACCTTCAAGCCAAATTTATAACTACATATGTGGCAGTAAGGTTAAAAAAATGCAGACCAAATAGTGTTTATTCTTTATAGCACACTTGCAATGAAGACCTGTGAAAATGCCTGTATTAGCTTTGCCACATTTCTCTGTCCATCTGTCTGAATGCAATAAATAAATATCACTTAATGAATTTTCATGAAACTTTTTTTTGCTAGTGGGGTGGGACTAAGTCCCTGTACTGCGGCTGCTTCTAGCCTATTGTACCTGACCCAGATGATTATGATGATGGAGAATTTGGTGGAATGAAGACTGGCAGGGGAAACCGAAGTACTGGGGAAAAACTTACCCTTTGTCCACCACAAATCCCACTTGACCAGACCCGGGATCGAACCCGGGCCGCCACAGTGGGAAGCCAGCGACTAACCGCTTGAGCTATGGTGCGGCCCTTCATGAAACTTTATATTGGGGAGTATTACTGGTATGTCATCATAGTGCACTTTTGGTTAAAATCTGACAGCGATAAAGGATACTACCAAACTGCATTTCTCTGCACATCTTGCCCAAATCTCACATGAAGTTTTTATCAGAATGAAAATTGTTTTGAACAAAAATTGTAGATGAAAATTAAACTTGCATTTCATATCCAGTAGACTTTTACCAAAAGTTCTACTCTTTTTGAGGTAATGAACAGATTGTACATGTATTTTATGTTGTTTGCAGACAGTAGTAAAGGACTGCACCAGAACTGTTATATATTATGTGACCTTTCCTAAGTTAATGGTTATCATGAAGACTTAATTCAACATTCTTTATGTCTTTCACATTGTCTGAACCAAGTTGTTGACAATTTTCACATGTTTCCATAATCTCTTGTACTCAGAACCTTCAGCCAGTGTTTTTGATTGCACATTAAAATAGCTCTGTGTTCAGAAGTGCAGTTTTCATATTTGGGAATGCAGTCCTTTCTGCCTCAAACAAGGGAGGGACATTGGGTGTGGTTTAGTGATACCTTTATGGATTGCAAGGTGTAAATAACTTTGGAAGCAAACCTGCAATTGCAGTTAATCCAACAGTTGCAGGTGGCTAGTAATTGCTTGTTATGATGAAAGTTTAAGAAAAATGCTCTTATTTTGTCTGAGTTTTTCCATACATGTAACAATACACTGATATTGGCAGTGCCCCCCCCCCTCCTACGCCATCTCTATTCCACTGCATTAGCTAGCTTATACACTTTAGGTGTAATGACAGGCTTTCACAAAAAATGTAATGGGCCTTTTAGAGTGAGAAATATCTTGATAACCTCAGAAATAAGTAACTTGTCAAGAGACAGATTGTGTCATTGGGCTGTTAGTACACTTTTTAATTTTTTATCCACAGATGCACCACTGGCGAAAGAGGAAGAAAATACTGCTGCAGAATTATCAAGGTAAGATGAGAAAGACAACCATAAAATTGTTTTAAGCAATCATCAGTTTTGTGCATGTGGGAGGGAGGCTTTATTTATGTATGTACAGGGGATGGACAAAAATATGGAAACACCTCATAAAATGCATGCCTGAATTGAAGTGTTTATTTTAGCGATATTTGTAGGTGACATTGTCATATCTGCCCAATGCCACTACCTGTACAACCTCCGCAATACATTGCAAGCTTCATTTGTTGTCAAGACAGTGTTCTGTGCAATTTTTAGTGCATTCAAATTCGAATGCAGACAAATTGTTGGGGCCCATATGATAGGTGCTTCTGTAACCAAGGCAGCCGAGGTTTTTGGTGTTTCACGAAGCACAGTATCCAAGATTATGACCGCCTACAGGAGGATTGGAAAAACTGCATCTGATAAACACCAGCGTGGATGGAAATGTGTGTTGAGTGATTGAGACAGACTAACATTGTGTAGGATTGTGATGAAAAATAAGACTACAGCTGCAGAAGTGACTGCTGAACTGAATGTCACGCTCACAAACCCTCTCAGCACCAAAACAGTACGAAGGGAACTCCACAAGCAGGGTATTTCTGGACGAGCTGCAATTCCAAAGCAACTCATCAGTGATCAAAATGCCACTAAGAGGACTGTGGTGCCGAAGTCATAAAACCTGGACTATGGAGCAATGAAAGACGGTCATTTGGTCGAATGAGTCCACCTTCACACTGTTTCCGACTTCTGGCCAAGTTTACGTCTGGAGAATGCCATCCTAAGCTTACGATCCAGATTGTTTGCTGCCAAGAGTGGAATATGGCGGGGGTTCGATCATGGTATGGACAGCCATATCGTGGTATTCTGTCGGACCCATCATTACCCTGCAAGGTCACGTCACTGCCAACGACTGTGTGACCATTTTGGGCGACCAGGTCCATCCCATGGTGTAAACTTTGTTCCCTAATGGTGATGCCATTTACCAAGCCAACAATGCCTGTGTTCACATAGCTCACATCATCCAGGACTGGTTTTCTGAGCACAAAGATGAAGTGTCACGTCTGCCATGGCCCCCACAATCACCAGATATCAATATTATTGAGCCTTTGTGGTCTGTTTTGGAGAGCAATCTGCGTGCGTGCTATCCACCTCCATCATCGATAACAGAACTTACCATGTTTTTCAGGAAGAATGGTACAAGATTCCCTTGCAAATCATACAGGACCTCTCTTTATCCATTCCAAGGAGACTGCAAGCAGTTCTGCAAGCCAGGGGTTGTCCTACACCATATTAGTCACGGTAATGTGTTTTTGTTGGGTGTTTCCATATTATTGTCCGTCCCTTGTGTATACATGTACATTTAATTCATTTTTTCTGATTCATCATAATAATATTGTTGATGGGCTTTTTGCAATGTTTTATAGGTCTCGTAATGGTCTAACTGCCAAGCTGCTAGGTAGCAGTCAGTGACTGACTGGTTTTTTGTAAATCATATTGGAATAATAAAGGTGCAAAATAAACATCAGTTTCCACCTTCAGTTAAATGGAAGTCTGATTCTAAATGATTGAGTTACATATTCGTTATCCTGATCATTTCTGTGTTCCTAGTCAGAAATTTTGGTTTTTGAACAGGTTTAGTTATTTCCAGTCAGTGTCATATCATTAACATAACATGCTCATAAGGCCTTGTATGTTTTTTCATTATATTTCACCAGTTGTATGTCAGCATTTTGTGCATGTGTGTTTGTGTAAGTACGTATCTTAAATAGAGGAAAAGCTTATGCTCACTTCTGGCACAATTGTAACTTTTTTGAGTAAGATACACATTTGTTTGAGAGCATGCATCTTTTGTGAAGTGTGGTATTTGGTATTGTGAACATGGTGTTGGTGCTTATTGGTTCTAGAAATATATGGATATTTAGTGTTTCAAAAGAGAGCTAATGAAAGCAAGCTCATCAATTTTGTCTTTCAGATATTCCCTCTTTTGGTTCATGAAATGCCTGATGGTTTCACGTCTTATATTGTTTAGATTATCCCCACTGAACTCGCTTGGATCCTGTAACCATTGCAATTTGGCCTGCTTTCTTTGATCTAATAATCTTGAGCATCCTTCATCCAACCATGGCTTATGCTTCTTCAGTTCATAATAACCTAGACTCTCTTTGGCAGACATTTTTATATTCTCTCTAATAGTTTCCGAAGCTTTATTAACATCCACCTCAGTTTCCAAGTTTTCCAAAGCCGCAAACCTGTTTGAGATTTCAACACAATACTGCTCTTTACCCTCTACCTCATTTAATTTCTTGAGATTGAACCTCTCCATATGAACTCTGTGTGTTGTTTATTTGCTCACTGGCAGTCTTTCCCTAACCTTTGCCACCACCAGCTAGTGGTCAGTATCACAATCTGCTGCCCCGAATGATCGGACATCAAGTATACTTGAGTGCCGTCTCCTGTCTATCACAATATGGTCTATTTGATTGTGTATCTGCCCATCAGGAGATGTCCAAGTAAATTAATGGATGTTACAATGTGGGAACATTGTACTTTTGACAGTAAGATTTTTTGATGTGGAAAAGTTTACTACTCTAACTCCATTATCATTACTAACTTCATGCAAACTCTCATTCCCAATTGTTGGTTTGAAATTGTCTTCCCTCCCTACTTTGGCATTGAAATCTAACAAAATTTTCATAGGTTAGTTCAGGAATTTATCAAATACATGTTCTAGTTCTTCATAGAATCTGGCCTTTATGTCATCAAATTTATCTTCTGTTGGGGCATGAATATTCTTAACAGTGATATCACACCAGCAACCTTTTAGTATTATATATGATATCCTATCACTAACGAACTCTACCCTCTTAACTGCTGATACAATTCTCTTATGTACGAAAAACCTGTACCTATTTTATGATTTTCATTCCCCTTTCCATAGAAAAATGTATAGTCTCCTGCTGGCGCGATGCCGCCACTGCCCCGAAGCAAACCTGCCCTATACAAACTTCGAACATTCCAAGTGCCAAATCTCATATCCATTTTCTTTAGCTTAGGTCGTTTATCCAAGGAATCTGTCCAGGTCTGAGGCTTTGTGTTCATTTTTGTAACATAATTATTTTTTACGGTGAGAAGTTGCTAGCCCCACGCCCAACCCCCAAGCTGGAGGACCACCCCTTGCCGGCTGTCTGCGACTGCTTATTCAGTATATTTGCAGCTTCCCTTCAAAACTGGAGGGTGTCTCCATCTGCAACCTGAGGATGCACCATGCCTTGGTGACAAGGGACCCACCTAACTTGTACTCTTCTCAAAGTATAATTAGAATGATCAAGTCAAGGAAGATGAGGTTGGCAGGGCATGTAGCACGAATGGGGGAGATGAATGCTGATAGGATATTGGTGGGAAAGCCAAAAGGAAAGTGACCACTGGGAAGACCAAGGCATAGGTGGGTGAACAATATTAAAATGGATCTTAGAGAGATAGGATGGGATAGTATGGATTGGATTGATCTGGCTCAGGATAAGGACCAGTGGGTGGCTGTTGTGAACATGGTTGTGGGAACTGCCCACATTCAAGCAAGTGTGACAACGCAAGCGTCATTGCTTAGTAACAACGAGTAAACAACGGTTGCTAGGCAGAAGCAAGTAAACGGTGGTTGCTAGGGAACTTATAAACACAGTAACCGGCAATAGCAGTACCTATTACGCAACCGTTTTCTATATGTCCGATTCTAGACTACATAAGAAGATACACTGAATTACAGTGACAGTCTAGTTCTACCGTTCTTCATGGTAATGAACCTTTGGGTTACATAAAATGCTGGGAAATTCTTGAGTACCTGCAGAATTGGCAGCTCCTCCAGAAAGGCTCAGCTCCATGAGTGAGTAAGTAAGTAAGCAAGCAAGCAAGCAAGTTGTTAGGAAAATTTAAAAGACAGTTTTAATAGTGTGGAAGATGGTGATTTTGTGTCAGTGAAAAATATAATAGTAAGAGTGATATGTATGCATGTAGAAGAATTTCTTAATTATGTCTGGGTCTCAGATTGATTTTTAAGGAAATGGTTTGATGTATTACTGAAATGAAGTCATTTTGGAGACTAGTAATAAATATGAGCATCCTCTGGTTGTGGATTGAAGAGACAGTTCCAAATATGGGGAGTAGCTGCAGTTAACTGAGAGGGGATGATCCTCAACTTGGATGTTGGTCCTAGGTTCAGCAAATTTTCGCCATAAAAAACCAGCATGTTAACAAATGTTACATATGGCCTCACTTGGTGAACTCTTTGTGAATACGGTAATATCTGTGGGGTTCTATAAGCAGTGTTGACTAGCTGAGTGACTGTTAGCTTTTCAAAAAAACCTCAGCTCTATGAGTAAGGTCCAATGAGTGTAACAAATTATATTGTTTTGTGATAAAGAATCAAGTGACCAGCTTCTTATAGAATGCTTGGGTGCCACATGTTTGTAGTGATAGTTCACACTTCAGCAAAGCAGCCCTAAGGTGGGTAGAAAATCCATGATAGTATCAAATTATACATATGATACCTATTTGCTGACTGTGTAAATGTAGATGCAAGAGTTTATGTTTTGTAAATTTCATATGCTAGACAGTAGGGTGGCAAATACTCAGAAATTGTTTTGATAGTTCATACTTCATAGGTATATAATGGTGTTTTTCTCGAAATCAGTGGTCTTTGAAGCACTTTTGTTTTTAAGTGTCCAGACGACATATGACTGAAGCCATTTCAGTGGTCAAAGGGCATCATGGCACATGGTTCGGTGTGTGTGTGAATACCTTAAAGTAATAATAATAATAATAATAATAAAATATTGCATGAAGTCCTAAAACATTGTTAATGTAATTACATGAATTAATTAAGCTCTTAAAAATGTAACACTCTCTCTCTCTCTCTATATATATATATATATACTGTGTTCTTATTTACAGCAAATTTTTTAAGGGTAAAATATCTTGTGACCGAAGCAGATTGAGAATTCGTGATGCAGAAGATAATATAGACGATATTAAATCTAAGAAGCTTGGAAATGAAGAAAATGAATTCAAGGGTCGAAGTAAGTGAAACATACTTAATTCCTTGCATCTTGACATTTGCACTGTAAAGGTGGTAGAGGCATCCATTGAAAGGATATGTACTGTATGTAGTACTTAAGTGACTACAGATAGTTAATGTGTACTGAAACAGGTTGGCTCATGTTGCTGTATGTCCTGTTGCATGAAATAATTATCCACTCATGAAATAAATATTGAAAGGAGGCAGGTGAATGTCATAATATATACAGCAAAGTAAAGCCACATTCAGATGTCTCATATATTGCTGTTGTTATAAGCATTTAGTATAATACACCAAGATTTAGCATGACATAATTAAAAAACAGCAAGGGAACAATGTCATTCCAAAAGAACGCTACCAGTCACATTTCTAGAAATGGCAGGATAGCTGGAATCCATTTGCTTATAAGGAGACTACTTTGTGAAGGGGATAAACTCTAGTAGCGTGTTGGATCTTCTTGATAGGCCCTTACATAGTTAACTCTTCATTATCTGTAGAAATACACCAGTTAAATTATTTTTTATATTATATCAAGTTCTTTAGTCGTAATATTTTCTGCAGATTGAATTGTACACTTAATACTTCATCACTGCAATTATTGGGTGCCAGGATAGTGTAGTCAGTATAGCGACTGACTAGAGGCTGGACGACTGAGGGGTTGAGTTTGAGTCCTGGTAGGGTCAGGAATTTTCTCTTCTCCGCATTGTCCAGACCTGTTCTGGGGTCCACCCAACCTCCTATCCAGTGGGTACCAGGGGGCTCTTTCCCCTTGGGTAAAATGGCTGGGGCATGAAGCTGACCTCTTACCTCCAACTAGTGCCAAGGTCAAGAAAATGTGAACCTATACATCCACTCCCCCGTATGCCTTCATGGCTTAGTGCTTAATTAGTTAAGCACAGGGACAACTTTACCTATTATATACAAGTATTTGCAAAATGTATTCTGCTTTCAGGTTGTGAGAAAATGAAACTGGATTCTGCTGCTCCAAACAGAAAATCTTTGTCATCAATATCAAGTTTATCAAGTTCATCAAGTCTGTCGCGATCACGGTCTCGCTCAAGATCTCATTCAAAATCCAAATCTAGATCCAGGTCAAGGTCCTATTCAAGGTCATATGTTCGACATGGTTGGAGGGAAGGAAAGTATGGCAGGGGAAGTTGGTCTCGTTCCAGAAGATCTCGCTCTGGATCTCGTGGTTGGCGACGTTCAAGATCAAAATCTCATTCACGGAGATCTCGTTCCATCAGTCCTGGGTCAAGATATGGAAGGAGATTGTCCCCTGATAGTAGTCCTAGCAGGGGTCGTTATCGCTATGGTCATTCACATTCACCAAAGTACAGTCGTTACCATGACAGCCAAAGTGATGAGAGGTATAGCAGACACCGAGAAAAATCTACTAGATTGAACCCAGTTGAAGTTGAAAGAACAAAATGGATGAAATTTCGTGTGGATGTAGATAAAATGGAATGTGAATTGGCTAAGGACCTGAAGTTCTATGAAAAGAATCCAGAGAAGCATCCTATGTATCCCGAGGAGTGGAAGAAGTTTTGGAATCGAAGGTATAAAGAGTTACAAGCAGATGGCAAGGATCCCAGTAAGCATGATTTTAAACCAGAGTGGATTGACTTTTGGAATAAAAGAATGAAAGAGATGCATGAAGAAGAAATTAAGAACAGGAAAGAGGAACTTAGGCTTAAGCTTGGTTTACCCAAAGAAGATGAAATACAGCCACCACGAATGATACGCAAAAAGAGACCAATAAAAGAGGTGGATGTTATAGTTCTCTCTCCTCCAAGTAATGAGGAAGAAGGCTTTAAAAAGGATGTAACAGTAAATGACATAAAAAATACATGGAAAGCCTTGACTGGAAGTGAAATAAAGGATACATTGAAACGTTCTCCAAGCCCTTGGGAAGATGCAGAGAATTCTTCAAAATATCCAAGAGGCTCGCCTCCTATTAAAAGAGTTCAAAGGGGAGGTCTTATTTCACGAGGAAGAGGCCGAGGCGGTAGGTTATATGGACGTAACTTTTATAGTGTAGATGAACAAGATGGGCCAGGGGTGGTTACTGTTTTGCGACTGCTGACAGCTATGGAAAGCCAGCTGGGCTCACTAGGACCACGTGTTAATACATTACTAGCTACTGCTTTATCTTTGGAAAAGGCTAGTCCTAATTCATCCAGCACATTGCTGGCTAATTCTGACAACTTTGTTCTACTGGAAACTGTAAAAGAAAAACTGAAAGGTCAGCTTTTTGCAGGTATTGTGGAGAGAAATGTGGTGATGGCCACTAAATCATGCATTCAGAGTTTAGCTGATTTATTGTCTAAAGCAGAAGAGAGCAGTATTAATTCTAGAACAGATCTGAATACTGCAACAGTAATAGCACCAGTGACAAAGCCATTATCATCATTGGCACCACCAAAACAGTCACCCACACTAGAGCCTGTTACTGTTCCTGGAGTTGGCACCATGGATAAGGTAGCTATAGCACAACAGATAGCTGCAGCTCTTGTAGCACAAGGAAAGACAAATGTGACACAAGAACAACTCGAACAACTCATCAGTGCTGTCGTGGGGATGGCAAAAGCTTCTGCTGGGTCTGAACATCCCATCTCTACAGCTTCTTTTGTTTCTCAAATGAAGGCACAGCAGCACAATACAGATGACAAGCAGCCTGCACCAGTTATAAGACATCATGTCACACCAAATGTTATGGAGGAGAATTCTCCACTCCAGAGACTCCTTTCAGTTGTCACTTCAGGCTTGGCTAGTACTTCTGCCACAGGAGGAGTAAATAGTATTTCCAAATTAAATGACTCTGCAGTTAATGCACTTGAACTGTTACAGTCAGCATATGATGAACCTAAGATATCTCCACATATAATTGATGTAGCTCCTGCACAGTGTGTGACCAAGGGAGATAAAATGGAAGATTTGACTGAGGAAGATCTGCAAACGCTGTTGCAGAACTTTAAGGACCTCTCCTCAGAAGAGCAGCAAGGTCTCATCACATACCTAAAAAAACTGGAAATGAAGGAACCTGAAAGGGTTGAAAAGCTTCGACAGTTCGTGAATCTAGATGGATCTGCTGTACAGAAATTATGTCAGAATACTAAGAGCAGCTTGAAGATGCCTGAAGCACTTAATATCAGACCTGCTGATCAGTTAGGGCGGCTGTCACCTTTCTCATTGCGGCAAGGAGGAATTAATCCATGTCAAGAATCTGGGAAAGAACTAGATATTACTTTCTCAAAAAAGAACCTTGAAGAGCAAAAGAAGTTGGAGGATTCTGATGATGATTATAGCTTTGAAGACATATATGCTGCAGCTTCCCAAAAAGTTAAAGAAAGGGAAAAGGCGAAGGTAGAGGAAGAGAAAATAAAACAGTTGTCAGACGATGTTAAGATAAAGGAAGAAACAAATACAATAAAGAAGAAAAGTGATGATCCAACTGTAATTCTAAAGGAAACTAAAGAAATGATTGCCAGCTTGATGGGTCAACTTCCAGGCAAGTTTATTCAGAAACAGACAGGATCTCCTGGCTCAAGAAAAGACAGTCCAGCTGTACAAGGGTTCCCTGCAGGCACAAGTCTGCACACACAGAGAGACCTCAGTGCTGAAGCAAAGCCTGCTATGCCAAATTCAGAAGTAGGAGGTCAGAAGATACAAGCATTAGGAAGTGAAACAGCAAAAATGACCATACCAGTGCAAGCAGTGCCAACATTGGATTGTTCCCGACGTATGTACCAGAGTTATGGTAGAGATCCATCATACAATAGCCAGTATGGCAGACAGCAGTCATTTCCATCCACTATGCAAACGTTTCCTGGAAACAGTCATCAGTCATTCACAGAACAACAGCCAACTTACTCTGGTGTTAGCTATGGACACAATAGTGGATATTATGGTGATGGTGGACACCAGCAGTATTCCCAGCACAACTACAGTGAAGTGTACCAACAACAGGGGCCTAATTCTGGTGGGTGGAATAATTATCCAGAGCTATATGGACAGCAGCCATATCAGACGCAACCTGTTACACAGCCATACAGTCAGTATCCCAGTCAGCCCTCAGGTTACTATTAATTGTCAAGTATCATATTGCTTTTATCCAGTAGATTACAAAAGAAAGATGCTACACAACTATGTCTTTGGCAAAATTATGTTATATATCTGGAATTTAACATACTTCCTCACAGAATTGTGTTTTTACCAATGAATATTTATTGGTTCTGTGTGTATGCTGTCATGCAGATATACATTAAATTATGTTTGGTGATGAGCAGTTGCTGAATGTATTTTCCTTCTTATGTTTACAAAATGACTTTGTTATTGAGCACTGAATGTGAAGTGATCTACATCATAAAAATATGGATGGAAGTCTGTTTTGAGACTGTGACCTAAATGGACTGATACATTTTATGCTTAAGAGAACATTAAATGAATTGTATTTATAACTTCTCATCACCTATATAAACATTTAATCAGTAGAATGTACCTGTTTAAAATGCATTTAGTGCTGTAACATTTTGCATATTCAACAGTGTGTTCATCTTGCCGAATTTTAGATAAGGAATGACCAGTAAGATGGACCAATTACATATGCAGACTTGCTCCATTTTCTTTTCTTTTGTCAACTTTTGAAATTGTAGTTTTTCGCAGAATTTGAGTATATGGATTTTTCATGTTGTCTGAAACTTAAAGACTTCTTTTGTTTTATAAATGTCTTGTGTTCACCTGATCCCCAGGCGCACATTTAATTAAAGTTTCTATTGAACTGGTGTTTTTTTAAGTGTGTTCATGCAGTTTTTAGTCCTAATTTTCATCTCCCTCCTTTCTCTATAGTCTCTTCTTTTTCATGTCCTTTTTCCCACCCTTTGGTGGAGAGGGCTGAATTATGGTTTCAGTCCTCTACTTAGTTTAGATTTTAGTGCTTCATGCATTTCACTTTCCTTTATTAGATGTTCCTTACAAATTAAAGAAAAGGACACCATATATGCAGGTCATTTGTATCCACCTGCGACCTAGTACGAATACCTAAACCATTGGATATATCCCCCCCCCCTTCTCTGGTGCCTTTTGCTAAAAATTGTAAGGTATTTCTGATTTTCAGCTTGATCCATAACAGAGGCTACTTTATGTGCAGTCATCAGTGAAGTTGGCACTAAAGTTCGCTGACAAGTGGCGGTCACTTAGTCAGTATAGTTCGCTTGCGGACTAATATCACAGAGTTTGTTTTTTGTTTTGTTTTTGTATCATACAATGAAAATAACAGTAAATATGCAGAAGGAATTTTTAGAGATGGTGATTTCAAAGGATTATGGCCATTAAGAGCCCCTGATTTGTTTTTTGTGGTGAAGAATACTTGTATGGGAACAGTCCAACGTGCATGCAGCAAATGAAAAAGAACAAAGAAAATGCCATTGGCAGCATCATGACAGGAACCCTTAGATCCCTCAAAAGTCCAGAGGTTTCATGTATATGTCCTTAACAATAGACGATACAGCATGTCTGTGTCAATTCTTGTTTACATTTTATGTTCAGTGATATGTTATCAAATAGTGTTTTTTATTTGCTGTTTTGACTTGATAAGCCAGTACAAGTGACAACTTGGATCTTCAAAGTTAATTTTTTTCTTATCAGGCAAGAACACTGGTCCAAAGGAGACCGTGTCCTCTAACCACCAAATGTGAGCATGAGTCATAAATTAACCTGTATCACTAAAATCGAGGCTCCTTAGTGAGTCATCTGATACAATTTGATGGCTGCTTGATGGTATATACATGGTGGAGAGCTGCAAATTGTTGAAACATCTTTGACAAATTAAAGTAGCCCTAAACTTAAAATAATTGTATTTACTATTTTCCATCCTTGAATGGTCTGTTTTAGCTTGCTACCTCTAAACCAAAATTAAGAGCATGGCTTGAAAATTTAAATTCTGTCTCCAGTTTATGAGGCACCTCTTTGAGACTTGTCGCTATGTGAATGATATCAATCAGTCTGACCAATCTGAGAGGAAAATTCCAGTTTTGTCACAAGGCATTCAGAACTGTGACTGAAGCTCTAGTTATTTGATCACCTGTTACAGCTAAGGAGTGTTGGAAGCTACTTCATGTTATCTTGGTTTAAATTGTGGACTTTTTTTTATTGCTAGTGGGTTGGGACTAAGTCCCTTGTACTGCAGCCACTTCTGGCCTATTGTACCAGCCCCAAATGACAGGTGAGGGTGATTGTGGAGCAGTTGGTGGAATGAAGATTGGCAGGGGAAACCGAAGTATGTGGAGAAAACCTGCCCCAGCACCTCCACCAGAAATCCCACTTGACCAGACCTGGGATCGAACCCGGGCTGCTGCAGTGGGAATCCAGCGACTAACTGCTTGAGCTATAGCGCAGCCAAAAAACTGTAGACTTAATGACAAAATTTTGTAAACTTACATTTCAGTGTTCAGTGGTTTATTAAATGTGCCAAGCAACATTAATTTCAAAGTTGGAAGGATGTGGCATCACATGCATTACATTTTTTACTATAAGGTGATTAGTTCATAGAACTGATTCTACTTCAGTTGTTTTCTTATTAACGTCGATGTCAGTGTCTATGAATATGACTGTTTCGCATTCATAAGGCTCACCATACTGCTTCCGTTATTTGATGTCAATGTGATTAATAAGGTTAATACTACTTGAATCTTTTCACTGTAAATTTTAATATTCACCTCACTGTGAAGGTAAGTTTATTTTAGAGTCATAAGTTTGGATGCTCATGTAGCCTGAGTTGCCTGTGTATTATTATTAATGATTATTAGTGTTATAAAGGGTTAATTACGTCCAGTGTGACTGGTGGAGTTTTTTTTTCTCCCTAACATGTTTCGGTCTTCTCTCCAGATCACAGTGCAACACATTTAAAGCGTGAGGTTCATACACGTTCAAAATAGTGCTTTGATACGTGCACATGCAAATTTGGGCTTTAATGTTATCTGGAGTATGTTTCATGTACAAACCGTGGGCCTAAATCTACTATTANCAATTAGTATGTTTAAAAAATTGAAATTTTTTAATTTTCATTCCAGTTTTGTGTCAAAATACCTGACAAGCACGGGAAACTCTTGATCACTTTACGATTGGGTGACTCACTCAATACTTAAGTAAACGCATCGCTCTCCAGATCACAGTGCAACACATTTAAAGCGTGAGGTTCATACACGTTCAAAATAGTGCTTTGATACGTGCACATGCAAATTTGGGCTTTAATGTTATCTGGAGTATGTTTCATGTACAAACCGTGGGCCTAAATCTACTATTATAGGGGAAACAACACGTTACACACACTGTCGTGCGCTGACAGGGTATGTGCAACAACTTAGTCAAGTTAGTCAACATCCAACATTCTAATTTCAAAGAGACTGAATGTGACCAACTTAACTTCCCGACTTTAAAAAATTCTCTAATCCAGGATAAACCGTGATATAAGTTGACCGAATCCTGGGAAAACAGGAGTCCCGAATGCCTTTGAAAAAATTCCGGGCAAGGAGTGAAAATACAGGATTACTTCGGGAAAATCGGGATGTCTAATCACACTAAGTCGATCTAAATTAGACATGCTGGACAAGTGACGCAGTATGCTATCGAGGCCGGTCGAGACGGTCGAGACTACGATGTAAAAGGAGGTCGTACTTCGTCGGCCATGATAGGTCAAAAAGTGATTTAATTAAATTGAGCAAGGATTGAAGCCGATTGTTTTCCTAGTTATGCCAGGTTGCACTGCACCTAACTGTACAAATAGTTCCCAGAAAGGATTCAAATTGTATCATTTTCCAAGTGATAAGGAAAGGAGTTTCATTTGGGTTCAAAACTGCGGGAGGGAGCGCGGTTGGAAACCAACTAAGCATACATGTGTGTGTGAGGTAAGTTCGGAAGATGAATTTACTTACGTACTCATTGAGCTGAGCCCTTCTGGAGGAACCGCCAATTCTGCAGCTACTCAAGAATTTCCCAGCATTTTATGGAACCCGAAGGTTCATTACCGTGTTCACAAGAGCCCTCCACTGGCCCCTATCCTGAGCCAGATCAATCCATCCCATCCCATCTCTAAGATCCATTCTAATATTGTTCCCTATGCCTTGGTCTTCCCAGTGGTCTCTTTCCTTATGGCAGTTCGGAAGATTGGTGAACGAAATTTGAAAAATGAATTTCATAAATGTTGCATTGGCTTAAAAGTTTAGTGCTCAGAAGTCTCAACTGTGAATATTTTTGTAACAGTTGATTGTCTTCACTGAAGTAAGCCATTTTGATTTAGTATTCTAACGAAGGATCTGTGTGATAATATAAAATATAATAAGACGACAGTTTGTATGGGAACAGTTGTAAACTTTACATTACTGAAAAAATAATGTGAAATAGTAGAAAGTGTAAACTCTTTATGAAGAGGCAGTATGGCTGAGGCAGCAACCCTAACTATTTTCATACCAAAATGAGAACCACCGGCATTTTCAGTTTCACATGGAGATTATAATAGGAATTTGGATTTAACACCACACCAAAATAGAGAGCTACATGTCCGTTATAGTTTGCTCATTGAGAAGTAAATCTTCTACTGCATTTTCTTTTTCTCTGTTCAATATTCTTTACCCATGACAGTGGTTTTTCCATGGCCTATATGTGTTGTCTTGACAACTTGTCCTGTCTGCATGAGGCCTGATTATATAATTTATTGGACCAAGGACGTATGATGTGTAGTCATCATGAATTTGTAATGTGTGACATGTTTTATATCCAGCCCTATGGGGAGATGATTGGATCCATGAAGTGCAAATAAATGTAATGTAATGTAAACAAGAGTAATTGTCCTGATATTTTCAACTAATCATGTGCATTTTGAATATTAAATATAAACGACCACTTGTTTTAGGTACATTTTGAAGAATCGCAGTTTGAATCTCATCGAGCTGATGGTTTGAGAAAGTTGAAGCCCAATGCGATACCCACCATTTTTAACAGAGTCGCACCTCTTCGAAGCTATACTCGAAAAGCTAAAAAGGAGCCAAACAATGAAAATGTTTGTGTAAGTAATAAGTTTCGTTTTAAGAATACAGTTTTCTGGGATATCTGCAACATTTCAGGAAAGCCTGTTGCCTTCAGCTTCCGGACAGAAGTTGGTCAGGCAGAGTAAACTGTATGTAATATAGGAAGGGGGGACTTGGGTTGTGAACAAACCAAACGAAATAGGGCCCTATAAAGGACTTTTCCTTCAACACAAATGATGCACTGAATATTTTATGTTTATGCTTTGATGGTTTATTATCGTTATATTGTTTGTCATAATATTCGCATCCTGAACTAATACTCAGTTTACATTTCAGCCTGTGACCAAAGAAAATAGAAAATTGCCTAAAGTAGCTGAAGGTACAAGGTTGAAGGTAACTTCTCAACAGAAGGGATTTGAGCTGAAAGAAAGTACAGGAAAGGACAGTGATGGACCTCTACAGGGAGAAGGTGAAGGTTTGAAGGTAAGTTTGACTGCCCTCATTATTATAAATAACAATTTTCACACACACACACACACACATATATATATATATATATATTGTCTGCTTGCTTGCAAATGCTACTTTGCTCTGTACCCTTGGACCACATTCCTGTATGTCATTGAGGTCTGATTTCCCTCCCCCCACCAATTTAACGACTTTTCCAAAATAATTTTTTTTTAAAGTAAGATATATGAACAGAACTCCTTTTTATGAGTAGCAGATCATTTTATAAACAAATGAAACATCACATGTCTTTAAAAGCTGCCAACTAGTTGGTGTGTTATTATTCCAAGTCTGAGCCACTGACCTGTTTTATGGCAAGGAAAATTATACTTAGCTTGAAGTGACTAAAATATAGCTTTTTCTTCTTTTTCAGGAACTTGATCATACATATCCAAAATTTACTTCAGGGGAAGATAAAGACCAGAATATTCTAAATAATGATGTTACTGTTGAAGATGGAGAGGTATAATTTCAATTTGAGGTCAAGTATTTATACATTGTTTTATATGTGGTATTGAATAAAGGAGCCATGTTCACATGTACAGTCTGCTATATTATTACATATGAGTGTGATTTTACACATAATTTGCCAGTTGTCCTCAATTTGGGTACAATATGACATATGACAAATAAACAACAGATTGATGCTTTTGAGCAACAATACAGAGTTATCGCATAGTTTTGTATCAAGAATCATTGGTATTCAGTCTGTATTGTGCTTACTTTGCATTGAAACTCCAATTTAGTGATCCCTGGCCCTGCTTGTATATAATGTAACAATCTGCCACTTGAGCTGAAGAATGAAGCAGTCATGAAAAGATTCAGTTGAAACCAGCAACATTGTGGTACCAGAACAGAGCTCACAGAGAGAACGTACAACATATTATGTTGGTGTTAGAGGCCAACAGCACTGCTTTCACTTTCTGCCAGAGTCCAAAGCTGAGTGCTGATAGAAGAAATCATTAAATCATAACTGAACTGTGTCTAATTTATGCAGAGGATGTATTTTGTTTGTTTTCAAAAACATGGCTAATAAATTATTCTAGGAAGGTAGGGGCCAGAAAGGTCAACACAATATTTGCAGGCACTGGACAAAAAGCAATTTAAGAAACCGATCCAGATATAGAAGATGGAACTGTCATGGTGAGAAGTGGTTGTAGATTGACTAGTAGGAATAGTTATTAGATGACATGAACGGAAAACCCGTGAGACCGATGCTGACAGAGATTTGTACATGAATGTCTGTGCTTGATGATTATGATAAGACACCAGTGAACAAAACATGAGTTAAGAAATTTCTTTGGCTGTTCAGCAAGAATGTTAACAGAACCCAGACTTTCTTTTAAAAAAAATGGCTAGTAATGACTTGGGTTTTCTAGTATAACCCAGTAACAAAATGACAAAGCAAACTGGCTCAAGTCATAACTCATATGTCTTTGAATTCAGGAGATGATCATTGTAAATGTTGGCTACAGCAACGACTGTCCGAACTGTTTGACTCTTCCACACATATCAGACATTTTTTTCATGAGAAAGACATTCTATTCATGAATCTGGTAAAGCATTTCAAAAGCAAACTGTGCAACATGTGCGTGTTATCTTCTGGACCAGCTGAAGCTTGTAAGCATGGACTTTTCGTCTCTTGTGCAAGATATCATGCATATTGAGCAAGGTAGACTTAATTCTAAACTTTCTTGTTAAACAGACTTGCAAGAGTTCCTTGGAAATATTTTGCTTATACACTTGGCATTGTCTTGGGACATCATGTGGTGTTGAGGCCCATTTTGTCACAGGGGAATCCCAGTCTCTTTTGTAAGTCTGTTCCATTGAATCAGACCTGTAAATCGGTGCTGCTTGGTTCAGGTACGCCTGATTAAACTTACATCAGACATGGATGTACTGGTTTAAACTCTACCAGCCACAGAATGAAATCCATCTGCTGCCTCACAGAGTGCATCTTCTCTTCATCTGAAGCAAAGTGGAACGGAACAGAGATGCAGCACATGGAAGGTGGCTTGACTAAGTGGGGAGGGGAGCTTGGGAGTGTTAACAACATTGCATGAAAATGTAGCTTAATATCTGCTTTCATTTCACGTATATAATACTTTATTTTATTGATATTTAGGGCTGAACACCATATGATGTAGTATGAAGAAAAGTGTGTTGGAGGACTTCACTGATAAATGCCATGAAAAATAAAATCAGAATAAAATATCTTGTACTGAGCAAAACACTAATTAGAGGATGACAATACAGTATGATAGAACAATCACTAATTACAAATAAAACAAAAAAGGGGTGGCACTACAGGTGCACAATACAATATTAGCCATAGCTGCCATGAGATGGTCATCATTTTGCATTACTCATAACATGTTTTCACATCAAATTCAACTTTAATCATGTTTTCTGTTAAAATTAAGTGTTAGAATTTTTTAAAGAGTTTTTTTTTGTCTCATTGTGCAAAGAATCACATGGAAGAGTGTATGGGTTTAGTTTCTGGTTGCCAGTATAAAACTGTTAAAGAGAATTTTCATTATAAAATGTTGTGAATAGCATATAGTTAGGGCAGTTAGCTACAGTGGAGGTAAAAGAATGTGGTGTTTGATTCCTGTTTTAATTGAAAGGTGATATGTGAACTTTATTTTAACCATATCTCTTAAACTACAGGTTTCTGTGACTGTGTCATTACCAACACAATGTTCCAAGTCTTACGTAAGAGGAAGAAAAAGAGGGCGACCTGTAAGGAAATGTGATAAAAAGTATGACGGTGAATGGTGCCCAGAGAAATCCAGAACCAGCCGGGGAAGAAAACGTGGCAGGCCGCCTGGTTCTAGCAATAAGTCTCCAGCATCTTTTCATTCACCAGTTAGGAAGTCTGTCAAATTTTCTATCAGAAACAAAGAACAGTTGCAAGATAGTGATAAAGGAATAGTGAAAGAGGTTAGTACCATAGTGCAGTGGATTCTCAGTTTTCTAAGGTAAATGGGACAAGTAGCAGATGAAATTAAAAGCAACAGACAATCCAGAATTATGGAAATAACCACTGTCCATGCTGCTTTTAAACCTGAAAAGTACTTAAGTGTTACTTACGAGCCATGCTGCCAGTCACTAAACAGTGAGCCAAATACCTTTACAGCAGAAAGAAGCAGTGCCTATTCATTGATAGGCCAATGTAAAAAGCAATAAAATAGCAAAATAATTTGTTGCATCAGGGTAAGAAGGTATACAACAGATGTACTGCATATCCTTGCAAAGCATCACCGATTATCTATCTATCTATCTATCGGTGATAGATATTCAACAGATGTAATGGACAACATTTGAACCATTACAAGAAGCTATTATCAGTACCCAAGGGATTCCACAAAACAAATAATTGTATACTATAAATGAAAATGCTGTTCCAAACAAAGCAGACTAGAAACTATGGAAAGTGTAAAAGAATATACACAGTGTTTCATTCCATAGTGTATTATGCATGGGGTGGAACAGTACTAGACAGTAAAAATGTATTCGCATTCAATAAGTATCTGCCCTCAGGCATGCGGTAGCATAGTTGATTGGGGCATTGTGCTATAAGCCAGGTGGTTGCATGTTTGATTCCCGATGAGGTCACTTGATTTTTTCAGTGGATCTCAGCCATCCAGCTGCACTGTGGCCCCGGGGTCAACTCAACCTTTAGCAGAAATGAGCACCAGGAATCTTCCTGGGGCTAAAGGGCAGCCAGCATGTAAGGCTGACAACCTCACTGCCATCTGTGAGCTAATTGCGTAGAAAATGTGTGAGCCTTGACGTCTCACAATCCTATGGGCCCCCAGGGCCTGTTACAGGGATAGCTTTGTCTATTTTAAGTATCTACCCCATTATAAGGAAGGTTTCTTTGCATTTATTTTCATTAAGGAATTGCCGGCTGTCTTAGAACCATGAAAGAAGAGGAGTGCGTAAAAGATAGGCAACATGATTCAGCAGTGTTCTGGACACACAGACATATTGAAAATTTTTCATAAGTAGGGATCATTAGATTGTCATTACCAGTACCACCACTGAGTACAGAATAATTGAAAACTTCTAGTCGCCCCAAGCACTCTGACCATTACTGGGTCCATTGTATGCCCCTAGGGCCCTTCATAAGAGCCCAGTCCTAAGTGCTAGAGTCAGACTGTTTTTGATTGAAGCATTACTGGTGTATGTTGACTCCAGCCACACAGATCCAAAGAGCTTCATTATACACCCAGGCAGAGATGGGCATTAACAAAGTGTATGGTAGGAGGATTCCTCCTCTCGTCCACATTTCCTGCATATAGCATTATCCCAGAATTCCATAACAGGATCCTGTACTGTTTATGTGTGACATCACCAATCCTATGCCAACTGCCGAACACAGGAAACACAACCAGCTCTACTGTTGCGGGCATGTATCATGTTTACAGAGCTGTTGTCTGGCAATGAGTTGTTCAAATACGTCACACTATATAAAAGATAGTGTTCATTGCAGGAGTTGTGTTCCTTCCAGGTGGTTACAGTACAGTCAAGTACACCATGGTTTGTTGTACTCATGTATATGTATGTGATTTTTTATTAGGTTATATTGTTTGAGAGCAATTAAAGTACCTAGTAAACGATATTCATAAGTAATGTATGCAACATTCATCCTAAGTTGTTTTGTTATCAAACAAGTAGGCTTGTTCCTATGTCAGGATTTATGGGTGTGTGTTCACACGCATGCATGTGTGTCACTTGTTCTACTAATGTCGTGATCAGAATATGATGGGGCTACCCATAGCAGGCCCTTATTCTTCTTGGACCATGTTATGCTGATGGCTTTGCCAGTAATTCAGTATTGTGTCATGTAGACCCATTGCTAGGTAACAACCATGAAACAGACAACTAGACAATGGCTGTTACTAGGCAATGGCCCATAAACAGCAACAGAGGAATGGTGTTTTCTGTTCTGTCCATGCCAAGATGTTATAAGCAGGACAGTTATGGAGGAGTTCAGTCAGTTTGTTAGTTAGAGAACTGTTGAGGTTCAGTTATTGTGAGTTGAGGCTGTTAGAAGCTGGTAGCTGTGGCTGAGGATAGTTTGGGAACCCAGAGGAAGGGGAAAGTCCACCATTGGAAGCTGCTACCAAGCACTGGCTAGTGAAGACATTTCTGTGGATGCTAGTGTGTGTGTGTGTGTGTGTAATAGTGAATTGTAAAATGTAGCCATGCCCAATATCAAAAGGTCTGATAAATCCAATTACCAGTCTAAACCCTATACATAGTCACAGTCATACATGTGACAATATTACTGACCAGTGACCGTAAGTCTGTTTTCCTTCTTGCTGTGTATTTATTTGTTGGCATGCTCTTCATGTGTGTCAAGTACAAGGAGGATTTTTACTTTGTTGCCCAGTTCCATAGATATGCACTTCACGACAACTGGTGCATCACTAGCTGCAAGGCACATACGAATTTTACCAATGATTCAGCATGCCTGACAGGCCGTAACATTTGGAAGAAGTAGTTACAACTCACAGCACACAGGAGGTGTTGAAAATACTGTCATTCTGCATGTAGATATCGTTCAAGATTAATTGTTTCTTTAAGAAACACTTCAACAATCCTTCTTGCACTTAGAGCACATCAGGCACCAATTTTCACTGGATGGAGCAGGACTGCGTGTGTTAGATGTGAATTCTGTGAACTCCAGTACTGATTATTTTGTATCTTTATGTATCCCTGCAAATGAAACCGTGCTTCATCAGAAAAGAATGCCAATTGCAGATCGATCTCGTCTTCGACGACAGACTGTAGAAACCAACTGCTAGCTGGATTACTGCAAGGCATGCATGGATTACAGTTGTTTTATAAGGTCTAAGCTTCAATAATTATGTTGCCATTCTTGCATTAACTTTTGACACTCCAGTGTCTTGAGATATTTCAGTGATTTTCTAGGCGCTTGTTCAAGTTTGGCCCTTATGTCATCTGACTTCTTAATAGGAACTCAGCACTTATGTTTATGTTTCTTGTCTATTAAAAGTCCCTTTTTTTCTAAGTTTATTCACCAAATTGTGGATTGTCTGTCTGCAGGGAACTCTTTCATCATGAAATTTACTTCAAAATTTTTGCCAGCAAATTCTAGCAGATCCATATTTCACATTTCTGTTATACAGAAATAAATGTTATTCTAAAGCATACCGCACCATGATGTACCACGTTGCTCCTTAACTGTTATTGAGAACAAATGGCTAATGGAGGTGATAACTGCTGCCTACTACTGACAAATCATGAACAAAATTCAATGCATGAACTGCACTGCTCACTGCGAAACACAGTGCCACTAAGTGGTCCACAAAATTAATAACTTACCTTCATTCCAGATATTACTGGCCATCAAGCATGCTGATTTATCAGCAAAATTTGTATGTGCCTCACAGCCAGTGGTGCACCGGCCGCCATGAAGCCCATAGCCGTGAACAGGTCAAAAAAGTCAAAAGAATTCTCTGTACTTGTGAAGACATGTGTTGAAGTAGTTTTGTTATTTTACAAGTTCTGGTGGGAAAGTAACTGAACTGTCACTGATATAAGTTTGTACTGAGACACATAACTCATATAGAGGGCATCAAAATTTACAACTGAATCAGACATGATAAGTGACCTTTTTGTTGCATAATGCTTTAGCAAACACCATCTGTTTCATAGTGTGAATGTGATGTTGAACCTCCACATTCTGTTACCAGAAAGTTTAAGTCTTGTATGTTGAAATGAAGGAAATATAAATTAATTTAAACAATATTCATGTTCACATAGGACTGCCCCACTTCTGAAAATAAAACTGGAGACTCTCTCAGTGGAGAAAAGAGCCAGTGTTTTGTGTGTGACAAGAATGTGAATAATGGCATATCAATACACACACTGACCAATACAACCAAGGTACATATGCATCACAAATTGGATAAGTTAGTGGTGGGAGAAATGGAGCTGCGTATTGGAGAAGATGGCGTTCTCTGCATTCGTTGTGCTAACCTTCTGAATTATGTGGACCGCATAGAAGTGGAATTGAACATGCTGACCAAAGCTATTCTCAACTCTATTCGCAAGAAATATGGAATGGGAGTAAGGACCTCTGACAAGACACTTGAGAACTTGCTTTCAGACATTGAAGAGGAGGAGAAAGATGAACAGGGGAATTGTGGTGAGTGTGAGTGGTGTAGAGCAGTGGTCTTGAACAGGTCTTTGATAACTTTCTTATAAAGTTTCACCAGAAGGAAAGCATGCAAATTGAGGGTATTTGAGAAGAAAATGATGAAGAATTAAATGGACAGTACACTGGCATGCATGTAGGAAAAACAAAAGCTTCATTGGGAATTGGAAAAGAAGGGACCACTTGGGAGACCTAAGTGTAGAGTAATATAGAGAATCATAAATTGAATGCGATGGCGTAGACTGAAGTAAATTGTTTCTGGGAAGATGTACTGAGAAATTTTGTGAACCATTGTAAGATGGGTATGTATTAATCCTTTCACAGTCATGTATTTATCTGATGCAGTGCTATGATAGGTTTGGTATTTCCACAATTTAAAAAAAAGTTAAGAGGAAGTTTTCTGAATTAATCTGATGATTCTTCATCAGTAGTGGTTCCAAAAATTGCAAAAAAATGACTGTAGCATGGAGTTTGAACTGCTTTCTGATAATGCTTAGAAGATGAGGAGGAAATTTTTACATCGCATGACAGATATTGCACTGTGATCCCTCAGGAACATATAGTGAATGCAAAAGTATTTATGTCATGACCCTGAAAAAGTTAGTGATTTGTTGTGCGTTATACCAAACCATGCTGTAGTTGAGTGTATCTAATTCAGTTTTCTTTACCCCTTCAACCACTTCATAATGCAAGATTTATTCAATAAAATTGTTAATTTATATATGAATTTTGTAATTTTCTTCCAGGTGAAAAGATAAACATGGACTTGCAATTAAGCTTGGGAGAAGAAACCAGTAATCAGTGGACAGAGCATGAAAATGGTTCTGTAGTGTCTTCATACACATCAGATACCTTGGATGCCAGTGCTACTAATAAAATACATGAATCGCCACCTTCGGAGGAAATGCAATGTCATGTATGTAGATTCAGAACCTCCTACAAGTCACTGATGATTTTTCATCTTCGGCAGCACATGAAGGATTCATATTGGTGTGACTTCTGTAATATTCCTCTGCCAAAAGGAACAGTTGATTGGATGGGAAGAAATAGTGTTGAAAATCACATCACAAATATTGACCTTGATGATCAGCATGTGATTGCAGACGTGCAGGGTGACATAGTAGAACAAGAGGTGGAAGCAAATGGTAATGCAGTCAGAGAGGTAGATGGCTCTGATACCAGTATATTACCCAGAAGCATGGACTTAATGGTAACTGTGCTACCTGTCAGTGCTGAAGTTGTAGGCAAAATAGTACCACAGAAAGTTATCAGATCGGAGAGGATTAAATCTAGGAGAGGCACAGAAGATACCGTTAGGCTTCCAAATGATAATGATAAAAGCAGTTCATCTTTGAATCACATGCAGTCCATCAGTAACAGTGGAAAATGTATTAGGGTGTTAAATGAAATGGGTATGATCATAACACAGGAAGTGGCATCAAGTGATGAAGTGAAAGACAGTGAGACAGTTGTGTCTGAAGAACACACAGACTCACAAATTCCCTCCCACACTGTTAAGTTTACGACATTAGACCTGACTGTAAAGCCACAGGCAGGTGACAGAAGTAAAGATCAACATATTTTGTGCAAATATCTTGTTGACAGTCATAGCAATAAAGGCAGTGCAATAACAGAATTAGAGTTGAACATGGAACATAGGCAGTTACTGAATGAGGTGGCAATAACTGAAGTGACATCAGAAGAGTTACAAATTGACAACCTTAGTGGTGATGCGAGTGAGATGAGAGTCAATGTTACACCTGGAATGATGACATATTCCAGTCATGACAGAAGACTGAATGCTGCGCTTGTAGATAATCCCAGTGAACTGAATGAAGAAGTTGTTGGAGTACAAAACTAAATGTTAATTTCAGTAAATGCAAAATTGGAGACATTTGTAACAGAAATTACTTGGATATAAAATACAAAGTGCCAGTATTTCCTTTTTGTGCTATAGTATTTGTATCTTCAGAGCTGGGATAGCTCATTCAGTCTAGCTACAGGCTGGATGGCTGCGTTTCAATTCCCAACAGGGGCAAGAGATTTTTCTCTACTCCGTAGTAGTTAGACCAGCTCTGGGGCCCATTTGGCTTCCTTACCCAGTGGATAGCGGGGTTAAAGCTGCCAGGAGGGAATCTGACCACTTACCTCAGTCTAGTGACTACATGGAGAAAGTAAAATTACTGGATAAAATGTAAACTCAAGTGTTTGAGAATTGGATTGTTCTGTGTCCAGAAAAGTTCAGACTGAGATATGAGCAAATGAAGTTTGTAGAACTTTTGAATTGTGAACATAATGCAGTAAAGTCCCCATTATCTGGCACAGAGAGAATGGGTGTGCCAGTTGCCTGAGAAAAATTCCTTCAGAACCCAATTTTCCTTAAATATTCTCCCACTTCAAGCTGTTTAACATTTCCATTTTTTCTTTCAGAGTCAAAATATCACTTTTCCGCTTTAGTTCTTGTACAGGAGGCTTCTTAGGAGACAGCAGATTGGTGGTTAGAAGATATTGGATATACTGAAATGTACATATACCACAAATTCAAGTAATCTCTACAGTATTTGAACATCATTAGGGCAAAGGAGGGTAAGAGTGCGCGCTTAATTTTTCCATAGTTTGCTGCATTTGGGGAAAATCTTGCATATTGCCGCAGGGCGTGAAGAATTGACACTAGTGGTATACGAGGGTCGTACTGAAAGTCACGAGCAACAATTTTTTGTAAAGTAACATGCTTTATTATTGACAAACCAAATACACCACTTCAATCTACAGACCTTTCTTTATTTTTCCACATAATCGCCACTTCTTTGTACACATTTCTCCCAGCGTTCTGGAAGTTTGAAAATCCCCCTTCTGTAAAATTCCGTTCCAGCCATCCGAAGACACTGATGCACTGCTTTCTGAATTGCCTCCCTTTTCTCAAAACGTTGTCCTCGCAGCTGATCCTTCACAAATCCAAATGATGGCAGTCAGAAGGTGCCAGATCAGGGCTATACGAGGAGTGTGGAAGAACTTTCCACCCTATCTTTGCAATTGCTTCCAATGTGAGGTGAGCTGCGTGGGGGTGAGCGTTGTCATGCAGGATGATGATGTTTCGTCCCAGACATTTATCGCGCAATGCATGACAGAGCTTGTGCAGTGTCTGAACATAACAAGCAGCATTGATGGTTTGCCCAGTTTCCAGGAATTCGGCCAGAATANTGATGGCAGTCAGAAGGTGCCAGATCAGGGCTATACGAGGAGTGTGGAAGAACTTTCCACCCTATCTTTGCAATTGCTTCCAATTTGAGGTGAGCTACGTGGGGGTGAGCGTTGTCATGCAGGATGATGCTGTTTCGTCCCGGACATTTATCGCGCAATGCATGACGGAGCTTGTGCAGTGTCTGAACATAACAATCAGCATTGATGGTTTGCCCAGTTTCCAGGAATTCGGCCAGAATAAACCCCTCTGCATCCCAGAAGACTGTGCCCATCACCTTCACAGCTGATGGCATTGTCTTTGACTTCTTTTTAGATGGAGAATGCAAATTGTGCCATTCCATACTCTGCCGTTTCGTTTCAGGCTCGAAATGGTGAAACCAGCAAAAAATCATCGCCTTCATGTCGATATCTCTGCAGCAGTTCTGAGGTGATGGCTTTTCACTGACCTTTGTGGTCTTCGGTCAATAACCGCAGGACCCAACAAGCACAAACTTTCCTATAGCCCAAGATTTCAATCATCTCTTGTACTGCACTGTGCCCTATTCCAAGTATACAATTAAAAGAAAAAACAAAGAAAACAAAATGCTTAAAACATCCTTAGATATCTGTTGGAGGCAGGCTAAAAATTCAGGCTGAAAAGCCATAAACTTCAAACTGCACACCATCATCACTGCCTGAGTCACAGGAAACTGTTGTGTGTATTGGGTGTGAAGAAAATCACGATGAATGGATTCAGTGAGGCATGTGCTCATCTTGGGGGCATGAAATGTGTTCGAATTATGAAAGCTACGGAGCATTTGTATGTGATTATTATTAAAGATCTTCCATGATCATTGATTATTACTGACTCTGTATTTAAAAGATGATGTGTTCGCATTAATACTCACGTATAGGTCATATTCAGTAGTAAGGACTGTGTTTCCGATTTTTATGAACTGAAAAACGTGCTCTTGTTCCACTTGAAGTATAAAGATACAATTTGTAATTGAGCCAAATACATCTTTTCTAACATAACAAAACTTTCATTTATGCCTTTTCTAATATCACTTTCCTCAAATATTGAGTTTCAAGGTGGATTTATGACCATGATTGTGTGTGATTTGGCCAAGTTTAATCTGGAAAATTATGGCTGCTGAACACATCGTCGATGAAACAATTAGAATGATTATTTTTTAAATTCTGTTAAATATTTACCATATGAGAAGTATTTCAAATTCAGTTTTTATAGCTGTACATTGATTTATTGCATACATGAATCCTTTGGAGGAAATTTAACAATGTCATAGTGTTAGGATACAGAGAGTCTAGAAACCAAGTTTTGAAACAACGCATGCAGTTTGCACTCTTATATTATTGTCATATGTTGTGTAACGTGTAAGTTATATATTTATGTTATCTTCAACTTAAGTTATCTGTATATGTTGACTCAAGGGAATTTAAACAATTCCAAGGCATAAATAGGCCTGGCCAGATAAGTTAAAAATGTCTAAAATTGTATACTCACTTTATTTGATGAAAACTACTTACTCATGGAGCTGAGCCCTTTTGCAGGAGCCTCCAATTCAGCAGCTACTCAAGAAATTTCCAGTATTTTATGGAACCCAAAGGTTCATTACCATGTTCAAAAGAGCCCTCCGCTGTTCCCTATCCTGAGCCAGATCAATCCAATCCATATCATCCCATCCTATTTCTAAGATCCATTTTAATATTGTCCACCCACCTATGCCTTGGTCTTCCCAGTGGTCTCTTTACTTCTGACTTTCCCACCAGTATCCTATACACATTCGTCATCTCCCCCATTCGTGCTACATGTCCTGCCCACCTCATCCTCCTTAACTTGATCATTCTAATTATACTTGGAGAAGAGTACAAGTTATGAAGCTCCTCATTATGCAGTTTTCTTCAACCTCCTGTCACTTCATCTCTCTTTGGTCCAAATACTCTTCTCAGCACCCTGTTCTCAAACCCCCTCACTCTATGTTCCTCCCTTAATGTCGGAGACCAAGTTTCACACCCATACAGAACCACAGGCAAATTATAGTTTTGTATATTCTAATTTTTATGTTTTGGGACAGCAGACAAGAGACAAAAGGTTCTGGACTGAATGGTAGTAAGCATTACCCAAGTTCAGTCTTCTCTTAATTTCCTCCTGAATCAGGTTTTGATCTGTTATTGTTGTTCCCAAATATCTGAACACTGCCACATTTTCAAAACATCTGTGTCCTATTCTTATATCATGATTTTGCCCTGCATTTTGGTGATGAGACAGCAACATATACTTAGTTTTCTCTGTGTTTACTTCTAGATCAACCTCCTTACTAGCATCATAGTTTGTGTGTGTTTTTATGGTATCTATATTATCACCCAATAGATTCACATCATTGGCATAGACCAACAGCTTATGTGTCCCATTTAATTTCAGTCCCACCTGGTTTTCCTGGACCTTCCTAGTGGCTTATTCTAAAGCAAAGTTGAAGAGGAATGGCAATAAGGCATCACATTTTAATCAGCCTAACTAGTTTCATGAGAACCCCAAACTCTAACAGAATATTGTACAATACTTCCCTTGTAACTGAATCATAGGCTTTCTTGAAGTCTACGAATAACTGATGTACTGTCTCAGTGTACTCCCATTTTTTCTGCATTAACTGACAAATTCAAGAGATTGGAACAGTAGTTTATCTGTTAGGTCAAAACCCACACTGATGATCCCCAATAATTTCATTTAGGTATGGACTTCACCTTGAGAGAAGAATATTGGACAAAATTTTGTATGAAGTTGATAGCAATGATATACCCCAATAATTACTACAGTCAGTTTTATCACCATTCTTGTGAACTGGTACAGTAATAGACTCCTTCCACTGATCAAGAAATTTTTCCTTATGCCAAATAGAAGTATTTAGCTTATGAATCTTAAAACGTAATATTTCACCTCCTGCTTGAATAAGTTCTGCCAGAAATTGATCACTACCTGGTGATTCATACCTTTTCAATTTTGCAATAGCAATTTCAACCTCTAAAGGGCTAGGATCAGGTACTAAGAGCTCGGCTGTATGTATTTCTATCTGCCTAACATCACTGACCCTATGTACATTCAATAACAGAGGAGTAGTTCTTCCACATATTCCAAATTTTGGAATCTACAAGCAGATCACCATTCTCGTCCTTCACAAAGTTACTTCTAGGTTGGTAATCCCTTAAAGTTATTTATAGGTCTCTAATGTTCTTGTTATTACTGTTCATTGCAAGCTCATTAATTTTGTCTTCCAGATATTTCCTCTTTTTACTCCTGAAATTCCTGCTGGTTTCATGTCTCATATGTTGTTCAGGTTATTGCCATTTATTTTGCTTGGATCTTGTAACCACGGTATATGCTTCTTCAATTTATAATAATTTAGACCCTCTTTAGCTGAAATTTTTATATTTTCTCTAATAGTTTCCCAAGCTTTATTAACATCCACCTCAGTGCCTAAGTTTTCCAAAGTCGCACACCTATTTGAGATTTCAACACAATACTGCTCTTTACCTTCTATCTCTGTTAATTTCTTGGGATTGAATCTCTCCATAAAAAATTGTGCATTTGTGTATTCACTGCCAGTCTCTCCCTAACAATTCGCACCACCAGATAGTGATCAGTATCACAATAATCTCCTGCCCTGAATGATCAGACATCAAGCATACTTGAATGCCATCTCCCATCTGTCAAAATATTGGCAATTTGATTGTGAGTCTTACCAGCAGGAGATGTCCAAGTAAATTTATGAATGTTACGAAGTGGGAACATTGTACTTCCAATAGTCAGATTTTTGGATGTGGCAAAGTTTACTACTGTAACTCCATTATCATTACTAATTTCATGCAAACTCTCATTCCCAATCGTTGGTTTCAAAATGTCTTCCCTGCCTAGTTTGACATTAAAATCTAAGAAAATTTTCATATGGTACTTCAGAAATTTATCAAATACAAGTTCTAGTTCTCCATAGAACCTGTTCTTTATATCATCAATTTTATCTTCTGTTGGGGTATGAACGTTCAGAGCTATGTTGTTACACCAGTGACATCTTAGTATTATGTATGACATCCTATGATTAATATACTCTACCCTGTTAACTGCTGATATGATTCTCTTATGTATGAAAAAAACCTGTACCTAATTAATGATTTTCATTCCCCTTTCCATAGAAAAATGTATATTCACCTGTTGGTTCGGTGCCACCTCCGTCCCATCTGACCTCCTGTACTCCCACTACATTGAACTTATATTCTGAGATTTCTTCCGCTACTGCCCTGAGTGAACCTGCCCTATACATACTTCCAACATTCCAAGTACCAAATCTCATAAAGAAAATTACTAGTGGAAAGTATAAATCATGAAGTCTCTTGTTACACAGTTAACTGCAGTCTCTAGTCTGAGTTCCTCTCATCACTTTTTAAGGTATCTTCAGTATTGTCAGGTGTCAGTAACTAGACATGGGGTTTGGACTGATAATTGGATTTATTGAATGCTTGCAACTCATAGCTACAAATAACTATAACAGTCTCACTTATTTACAGGCTCTAAATCGTTGGAACTGCAGAACACATAAAGTACTTAAACCTCATTTGATACATTGTAGACTAGTTTAAAATTACAATCAATGAAGAACATCCACTAACTTTGGTTTTCCAGCAATTGCAAGATGTTGGCTGATACTGTTTACTTCCATTCCACTGTTTTTTTTTTTCATTTAGTTACAACCCAGAATTTGGCAATCTTCATAGTTACTGCTGTAAGAACGTCAGTTCCACACGTACTTCACTCTTTGTAAGCCTTCTGAAATTGAAAGATCAAGAAAAGTTCCTTTTTAGCTTGCAAAATCCTTGGTGAATAAGTTTTATAATATAAAATTACTAATACAACAAGAATATAAGTCATGTCTTTTAAAGAAAAATATTTGATCTGCCTTGTAAAAATTCAGTGACATAAGTTCCAAATATTAATTACTTTTGGTGTGATGTCACTTTTTATGAGTCTGACAGTACAGTAATCAACAAACACACCAATATCAATGAATATGTTGCATGATAAACTGAACATTTAAGAAGTATCAAAGCTGGTACTAGGTAAAAGGTAAGGTAAGGTTGTCCATGCACTTAGTTAAGTTACACATAGTAAGTTATGGGGAACTGGAGGTATAACTTCATGTATTAACCTTAGCACTAGATGGAGGTGAGTGGTCACTGCATATAATAGCCACTTCACCCCTGGGAAAGCATCTCTGGTACTCAGTGGATAGTAGGCTGGGTGGCCCCCAGAGCTGGTGTGGATGTGGTAGAGAAGAGACCTCTTGTGCTTGTCAGGAATTGAACTCAGATTCCTCAGTCATCCAGCCCATAGCTAGTGGCTATGACTGAGATATCCTAGTTCCAAAGGGGAAATAAACAGAATATTTATTAATTTAATTGAAGAACAGATGACTACAGTGCATAAATGGTTAACCCACATGAACAGGATAGAGGATAATAATAGATTGCTAAATGGTATACAGAGATATAGGAAAATCATTCAAGAGAAGCATAATGAATTGAAACAGGTCTAATCCATGAAAAATATAGGAGGAAAGAAGAGCAAAATTAACCTTATAAGAAGGCTCTCTATCTGACACATGGAGCATGAAACTGTCCTTTGGCCTTCAAGCTTCCCATGCACTTCCTGTGAATGCCTTAAATGAACTTCCTGTGTACTTTTTCATTTTTTATGTAAAGGGTTTGCTCCTGTTATGGTTTATGCCACATCCTACAGTCATTGTTTACTAAATGTAGATCCAAAGAATTTAATGTAATATGTGTATGTATACATATATTATTGATTTATAGAACCACTGCAAATGAGAAATTCTATCACAGAGGTATTTAAACAGTAAGGTGCTAACAGAGGGTACATACAGATCATACAGAATAAGATGGGCCTTCATTTATCCTCAACTTTTTTTTCCTCATTTCTAATTTTGAGAAAAAATTGACAGATTGAGTGATTTGTTTCCTCTCTGCACAACACAATGTTTTGCTGAGAAAAGTTAATATATATTTTGGACTGAACTTCTGTTTACACCTGGATGATGGCTGTACAACTTATTGGATTATAGTATGTATTCTACACTTCAGTTCTATCAGTATCTAATTGTATTTTATTATAGGTTCACAGAGATGAATGAATGTCAAGCATAACAATTCACCATGCCCTATCATAACCTCACCCCCTCAGTCTTGTTCCGTTACATACCACACATCCACGCATAGTATAAAAAAAATATATATATTCCTGTTATAGGCCATGGAGGCCCATAGGGTTGTGAGATGTTGAGGTTCGCACATTTTCTAGACAATTGGCTCATAGATGGTGGCAAGGTTGTCAGCCCTACGCGCCAGCCGCCATTTACCTCCAAGAATATTCCTGGTACTCATTTCTCTCAGAGGCTGAGTGGACCCCAGGGCAACAGTGCGGCTAGAAGGATTAGGTCAATTGAAAAAAATCCAGTGACCTCATCCGGATTTGAATCCGCGACCTTCCGGCTTGTTCCGCCTAATATGAATAACACACTCACTGCTAACCATATTTTTTCCCACAGACTCCATAGTTTTGCCAAACAAATTTTTGTTTTCTTCTGGGTTTTGGCGCCAAAACCCAGAAGATGACTTTCTTCATAGTCATCGTCGTGAAAACCTCAGAACTTACAAATTTTTGTTTATTTCACTGTTTTTGATGAATAAATTCTAATAATGGACAGTGATCATCTGCATAAGGCAGCTGTAATGGAATTGTTACTATAGAAGTGTATAAGCTTCCTGTGTTAAAATTGAGTCTCTCAGAATGGGTGCTATGAAGAGTACTATCTTGTTTGATGTGAAGCCCTTGGACTCTGTTCATTGTGTGCTTTCTTGTTGGTTACTTGCTTGGCTTCCCATCTGAGGACTGAGGTTTCATAGTGTGAAACTGTTCAACCCTAATCAAATACATTCAGAGATGCTAATGTATGAGTAGGGAACATAAGTGGAACAATGATAAACTACTCATAGAACAACCTACTCTGTTGTCACGGTCTACCTATGGCTCTACAGCCCTTGTGGATCTTGACCGCTTTTTTGTTTCTTAATCCATACATGGTAGGACTCCTTGGATGGGAGATCAGCCTGTTGCAAGGCTGCCACCTACACATAGAACAACACAAACAGAATAAATGCACACAGACATCCATGCCTCAAGAGGGTTTCGAACCCACAATCCGTGTTCAAGTGGGCAAAGACAGTTCATGCCTTAGATTGTGCGGACACTGCAATCAGCCCTGCTGTCACTATGGACAGTTATGGTATTGAACCCAAGTCATATTGAGAATTCAGTCTTTAACTGCCTGGGTTGTGGCACAGCCTGGAATGCTTTTTGTATTCTGAAAATATCTTCATGTAATTAACCTTTAAACACCGGACTTCGAAATAGTGGTAAACTTGAGCTGGCTGGAGTTTATTTAAATGCCCGCTGCTGGTGCTCGTTTAAATGCCCGTTGCTCCCTTGCATTTAAATGTCCGTTCCTGTTAGGCGATTAATCAATTTTAAGTGTTGTGTTAAAAAATGCTGTATCTAGCTCAATTTTTATGATAAATGGATGGAATTAAATGTGTATATATCCAAAAAGAACATAGTGTCGCATATTAAAACGGAAGATTTGAAATTTTTAATACAAAGTGTTATAATCTATTTTCAATTTTTTGTGTTTTAATTTTGATGCGTACTGCAAAAATTGTTTCCCAGTTCTTCACAGAGTTGTTCTGCATTATAAATTCATTTCTGTTTGTAACACTTGACAAATTTTAGCAGTCCCTGGTGTCATAAAACAGATGGAAGCAATAAAATCATTTGGTCTTCTGCTAGCACTGCTTACACCCTTCGGATTTTCGAATCTTTGACTGAAGGTCAGAAGAATGAAAGAATGGCTATTCAAGAGAAAG